AAACTTTATCTCTTCACTGGGTCAACTTTAGATAGATGGACCTATTTACTTGGGTCTTGTTTTTGCTTCAATACAGAAATATCTTTGTGACATTTTTACTTTATGGTTGAGGTAATCAACTAATAAACTGACCAAATTTCTCTTTACATTTCCTGATCAAATTAGATGAGATTCACTCGCTAACAATATCAAAAATTTATTCCTAATTTAGACGAAAATTTAAATTTAAATGAGCAATAGATCAAGATATTATGTATATATTAGTTCTAATATGATTAATAAATTCAATGGAAGTGTGTGCCTGGTGCAGCTAAAACTCCCCTATTTGTAGTGATTTAATGGCACCACATCCGTAAGCTTTGAGGAAGCACTTTGATGTTAACTCTCCTAAAGCATGATTCTAGGATCTGAATGTCATGAAGAACAACCTACAGATTTGACTAACCAATCCTTTCACTAGATATAACGTCATTTTCCTTTGTTCTACAAAAATCATGGAAATATCATTGTCTTTTAGTGCTCCAAAACCATGAACATTTTTGAATCTAAGACAGAGCTGATCTGACTCAGTATGCTTTGTAATCTTATATTCCCCTTTCTCTCTGTAGAACACTTAATTGTAATCAGCTTAGATTTAAAGACAAAGATATTCTAGATTGTATCTCTACAATTCTGGTTCTTCTTCACTACTATGATCCAGGTTCAAATATGATTGACCATCTCTCGAGCTGATTATACGTGTTTATCATGATGTTGTAGCTTACTCCATGCTTTTCTACTGTTCCGAGCTCCATTCTCCAGCTGTAAGGTGCAAAGTGAAAAGTGGCTTTGATTTTCGACTCAGCAGCTATCAGACTGAAATCGCTATTATGGTGTTTTTTCAAATTTCTGCATTCCCATGTGACATTAGCAGTGACTATCTTAATTTTAATACAGCATACGAAATCCACATCCTTTTCCTTGTATTCAACGAACCAAATTCTTATCCAGTCATGGAAGCCTTGGCATTGGACCTCATCTATCATCACTATTAATCCTGAAGCAAATTAAAGGGCTCTAGAAAGTGCCACTGCATAAACACGTCCTTCATGGTTTCCAATATTTCATTACAAGACAAGCGGAAACTTCGTATTCGCAAAGATAGGTTATGAAGCATCTCCATTGCAGGAATTCCATGTTGTAAGAACTTTTATATCAATTTTTATCTCTCAATGGTCTGCATCGTTCTAGGCACCCACCTTATTCTTGTATGTAGGCAGCAAAGTGCTCACCTCAAAATCTCATTAATTAGCTAAGCAAGCCAAAATATACCTCTCTCCTAAACACTTCCATGCTTCGGTAGGAATACCATTTGACCACTGGTTTTACAATTATCCATTCTCTTAAGAGCTTTTTTTAACCTTTTCAACTTGAATCCTGCAATTGAACTCCTGGTCTTCTTGAGTTGTTAATTCTACCATATCACTAGTCGTCTCGTGGTTGAGAAGTCTGTAACCAGATAACTTTGTGTTGTCATCTATAACCAGATAACTCAATAAATTGTTTAGAATAGTATTTTGAAGGAAAAAAATAATCGATTTAGTTAATGAATGCAAATTTTTCAAAACTCTGAAATTTTGGTTTGCTGATTTTTTTTCTTGTCGGCCAAAAGTTTACTGACTTGAAGTTTCGTGTTCCCAGATATTATATGGGCGATTCACACCAAGCAACATGGGGTATTGTGATCTCGACTTATTTATTCAGCAGAAAGATGGAGAAAAGATTGTGGATCCTGAGAAGCAAGGTGCACTCTGTTCGCGTTTAAAATTGGAAACGCTTCATCCACTGCAAGTCATCATCGCAAACAGAGGGCCAGATACTGAACTATTGGTAGCCAATCCAGATGAGCCATCTGGAAAGGGCAGAGCCCATGTTTTTTGTGACGTTATATTTGCACTAAAAGCACTTGGAATCTGCATTTTTTCGGTGAGAATATTTTTGACATTTCAAGATGCTATAACAATTTATATACATCTTCGATCCTAAATAATAGCCCAAGGTCCATGTGAAAGTTATGGTTTCGTTTTAAATATAAGGTCTTACTTACTCGTCTCTCGTATTAAATTTTTCTTTCTCATGATACCCCTATTTGCTGGGGCATTTTATCTTTCTGACTAAGTTTTAATCATCAAATAGCACGGGTATTTTAGTGTCACAATCGACTTGCCTATTTTTTTTTTTTTTAATTCTATAGATTTGTTTAGGGTACCTTATCTTATATTTAGGACTTCAGGAGTACATTTCAAAATGGTCATTGAATATATATTACGAATAGGAAGCATGATTTCTCATTATCAGGTCCGGAAAAAAAAAATGACTTACCATCATCTGTCTAGTTTCCTTATATAGGATAGTAGATGGTCGACATGTCGTGGGCATTAATTCAAGTAACTTTTTTGCGCCACAATAATTGTTGTTCATGCTGACAGGGCACGCAGCAGTATCAATATTGTCCTTGCAAGTTAACAAATCACAAATTATTTTTTCCCTTGCTGTTTTAGGCTGAAATAGGACGGCATTCGGCATCAGGACGTGAATGGTCTACGGATTTCTTTTGGATGAAAACTGCGAATTTCAATTAACTACTTTTGTTGCTAGAAATCAGATTGTAGATAAAGTTAGAAGAACGTTGATGGGTTGGTGAGCAGATTGATTTTCTTTTTCGGGGAGTTAAATGAACGTTCTCTTGGGAGAGCTTTGTTCCTTTGTGCCCAGTGTAGATGTCGACAAAGCATGGGTTCTGGTAAACACGAAAATGATACGCAGCATTTTTTTTCTTTTGCAAGTTAAACATAGCGTAGAGTGGTGGCAATGTTCGAGGTTCCCTGGTTCTTGACCCAGGCTTCTGTATTTATTCCGACTACAAGATCCCCTCCCCCCCACCCAAAAAAAAAAGAAGAAGAAGAAGAAGGCTTCCTTTTACTTTCCATCTCAACTATGAGTTAAAATTTTGAGCAGTTAAAATTTAATATTTCACAAAATTATTATTAAAATGTTAAATTATGACAAATAAATTAATAAATGGAGAGTGCAAAGATTCAATAATGACTTTGTAAAGGGAAAAGATAACTTCATGTTTTTATACTTTGTTTGTATTTTGTTATTAATATCTGTATTTTCTTTTTGATATTTTTAATCTTTGTATTTTTATTTTTTATTATTTTAAGTCTCTCCAAAGTTTTTATACACTGAAAAATAAAAGTATAAGAATAAAAAATATTAAAAAAAAGTATAAGAATTAATAGTAAAATGTAAGTAAAGTACATAAATTTAAAGTTATGTTTTTTTTTTGTAATCAAAAAAATATATTCTAAAATATTATCTTAACTATTCAATATTGAGATGGGATGTGGAGGAACTTTAATGGAAAATAAATGGAGAAAAGGCAGGCCATAAAAATCTATGTTGTTTTCTAGGGCAATAAGCCCCATTGTTCCAAAAACAAAGTAATATAAAACAGTGCGAAGTTTTAATAGAACACATGAACATCAAAAAAATATAACAAAATGGTAAAATTACATTAAAGTTGATGATATCAATATATCTCCTGGAAGAGCTCCAACCAGGCCAGGAAAATGTTCTCATATTAATTTTACTGCATTAGTGAATAGCCTTGGATCATCTTCCTCTGTGGCTCCGAACTGGCTTATTTTCCTCTCGCAACCCCTACTCTTCACCCCTTGAACGAGACTCTCTCTCTCTCTGAGTCCCTCTCCTACTCTCTAGTCTCTTCACCCCGACTTCTCCCACATCTTATCGTTATCATTTGACTGGGGCGATACCGGTGCTCGTCCAAATGCAAACGCATGTATCCACCCTTACAAACAACACGTTACAACACCCCCGCCCCCCCCCCCCCCCCCCAAAAAAAAATCATTGTCATTGCAAGCTCAATTATAAGAGGATGTAGAGAAGATGTAGAGAAATTGTAGCAGATTGAGGATCCTCTTGGATGAGCCCTGATTTCACATCCACTTTGCTTACCCACTGGCAATCTCTTTTTTAATTTAAAAGTAAACCTTTTAAAAAATTAACAAAAAATCAAATATACCCTCAGCATCATATTAATGCGGCATGTAAAATAACTCTTTGTATAATGTGTCCAATGAATTAAAATTAAATCCGAAAGTCATCTGAAATGTATACCCTAGGATGTGCGTGTACACATACATATATAACTTACATGATCCAAATTCAATTGTAGGAAGCCGAAAGCACACAAAAGCTACCATTGATTTAATACAATATTTACATTTTCATTAATTTTTTATGAAAATTTTATATGTATAAAAATTATTTATAAAACAATCGAATTATATAAATTTTGAGTTATGTAAATTTTATAATTTATTCTAAAGTTATATAATCTTTTAATAAAAAATATAAAAGCTCTTCCATGAAAAAAAATCTAATAAATCAAACAATAAGGGCTTAATTAAAATAAAACAAAATGCAAGGATCTAATTTAAAATTAAGGAAAACTACAAGAAGGCGCAAAACTGAAAATATATTTTCTCTTTTATACAACACGGCAGTTTAAGAATAACGAAAGAGTAAAAATATAATTAATTTTATCTCGAAAAAATCATGTATTGAACCGTAAGAGCGGCAAATAATTGAAATAGAAAAAATGGAACCCAAACAAAAACTAAAAAAAAAATAAACCCAAACAAAAACTAAAAAAAATTAAGGTATTTTTAAATAGAGAGAGTAATTTTTTGGCCAAAACAGAGGGAACGGATTATTTTTATTATTAATCACAGTCAAATTCTGGCCAAAAAAATCACAGTCAAATTAAATCCATCACTAATTATGATATCTTTAGAACATTGGTTTTCTTATGGCAAAAAAAAAAAAAAACATTGGTTTTCTCTCGGGCGGAAAAACAAAAAAGCATTTACTTGCTCCGTTAATTCATGTATGTCCAGAAACGACGCGTGTATTCGAACATTGTCTGCGCAGTTATCTCCCGCCGAAGTGTCGCTTTATCGGTATCCAAACCTAAAATCAGAATGAAGAAACGAACACGTGTAATGGTGTGCGGCACTGAACTGGACACCGCACCAAATATTCCCCACCTGCGGAATCATATTCATAATCTTCTGTTGTGCTTTGCTTTTTCGTGCAGTATCTCAGGAGATGTTTATGAAATGTCTGGATCGGAGTTTGGGCTAGAGTTTTGCCCGATATTTATCTCCTCTCTAGTTTTTCCCTTTCACAGCTTGATCTTAGATTCGAATTTAGCGTCATCCATCGGAAATGACTGGAGTGTATGCATCTCCTCGAAGCACTGCTTATCTCGACGCTCTCTCTGAAGCGATCCACAAGAAGCTCCAGCGGGTTAGTATATTGCATATTCCTAGTGGCTCTTTCAACTTCTGTTTAGATATCGAGAAAATGCAAGAAATTTGAATCAAGGATTTTCTTATCCTTGCTGGAATTGCGGCTGCATATGACTCGTATGGTAAAGTGTAGATTACTGCGTCTGGCTCTATCGTTGCAATTCCTATTCTATAGATCATGATATTTGAATTTCGAATTCTTCGATTTCAATTTTTCTTCGAATTCAACGAGTGTCAACGCTGATTACTTTGATACTGCATGAATGTACAATTGTACGGTTACTTAATTTCTTCCGTGTTTGATTTGAACAGTCGTTGCATTAATACCTTTTATTATCCTTGGTCAAAAAATTGTCAAGATTCCTATCGCAGGCACTTGCCTAAACAGCATTGCGTTTGGTAAATTTGTTGTAGGCGCTCGCTAGTTCGTTACAGAGGCGCAATTTGTTGCGGGAGCTATTTGCAGACATCGCTTTAGAAGTTGATGACCGAGCCAAAGGTGAGATGTAGATGGTGGTATAGATAAATAGGATAAGGCACTGATCGCCACTGTAAATTCTCCAAAGCATAACTAATTAACAACTAGTTCGTGTTCTATTCCTCTTTATGGTCAGATGTTTTACATAATTATTAAAATCTAAAGATTCTCGTGGGGGCTGCTGTAGTGCTGTTGTCTATCTTTATGAATGTTCTTTAATTAGGCATTAGAATATTTGTCATTGTCTCCTGTGTATATGGTAGTGAATTTTTTTCTTAATTTGGAAGATAATGGTTTTCCTTAAAATGAAGACTCATCGAACGGCTGACTATTCTTGATGTGCCAATATGATCAGCTGGTTTAAAAAGTTGTTCCAAATTCTAACCATGATTTCGTTAATTGCAACACTTGATTATTTGAACCGGAATTTCTGACACTAGTCAACTAATTGTCAAAAACTGTAATTTTTTTTTTTGACACATTTGAGTTTTCTTCCATATTTTCCTAAACAGAATTACCAATTGCAATTTTATTTTATTTTTTACAAGAACAGATATAATTTTCAGCAGGGAAGAAGAGATAATCTCTTCTGCAGATGATGGTACCAATGGTTTATTATGTTTCTATGATGTGCTTGCTGATTATTTTGTTCGGGTGCCTGAACATGGAGAGCCTATCCTTGACTTGATTGTCCAACTGTGGAGCCAATCGTTTGCTTCAAACATTTTTGCCCTCCTATTCCACAAAGGGGTATGTGAGAACGCATCTGAATAATCTTTTTGCAACCTTTTATGCTGGTTTTAATATGTTTCCTTTATGATGAATTAAAGGATAAATTATAGATTATATCATTAGCCCAAATGAAGCCAAGCATTCGAAGTCTGTCCAATGGATGTTTTCATCACCATCAGCGTTCCTTATGCAGCTAGAGACCAAGTCAGACTATAATATTACCCATTCTGATAAATAACAATGGTTAACATGATTGCCAGAAGAAGAGTGTTTGCCTATTTATTTGATTACCTTTAATTGATTTTACTTCTCTAAGCTTTCAACATATTTCCATTTATATATGAATTTTGTGTTCAGTGAAGTTAAGAGGTTCAACGATGATCATTGATACTGCTTATTTTGAATTTGATAGATTGATTTTTCATGCTTATCTAATTGAAGTTAATCTTTGTAGGAAATAGCATTATCATTCTAATCATTATCTACCTAAGCATACCTAGTTTCTTTAAAGTTTTAAAACGTAATATAGCATTGCATGTTATTTGTGTGGAATAATATATGCAGATTTAACACCAGATAATGATATCAACAAACAACAACTGATGATGAAGATCATGATGTAGGTTAAAGCTTCCATTGATATTATTCCATTTTTCATAATTTTTTAAAGCACCTGCTACTATCTAGGTGCAACATACTCATTATCTGGACAAGTGTAATATCCATAGTTCTGTGAGGCCTCCCATTGCTTCGTTTAACACTCACTGCTTGTCAGGGACCAACCTCCAACCCCAATCATAAACCTCAGCGCAAAAAGTAATATGAAGGTTACTATGGCCAATGTCAACCGATAAATGGGGAAACTAAGTCAGTGTTTTACCATGGGAACATGTGAACATATCATATGTCTTCTGTGTGTTTTCAAACTGGAGTTTAGTTGGATAGCAAGATGATGATGATGATAAAATCAATTTATTATCTGCAAGATGCCAAAATCGTAAGCTTCATAACGAAAAATGAAGAGGTTGGAGATCACTGCAGGTAGTGTAATTTTTGTAGGTGTGTTAGTCATTGCTATTAGTAACCAATATTGTGGCTTGTAGAGGCACCTACTTTGGTTTAGACATAGGTTTTGATGAGTCAATTCTTCTCACGCAGAGGGAGCTATGCTATATAGTTCAAATAAGATTCATCAATAAAACCAACTTTTTGGCTTTTAATTTTTTTCTTTTTTGTGAAACACTTTAGCTTATATTTGGCATACTATTGTGTTGCAAAATAATTCCATCCTATGGTTGCGCAGTTATTTGAAGTTGAACTTGATAATCCAGATGTGCTTCTCCGTTATTCATCTGCTCTGGTTGAAGGTGCAAGAAATGTTTTCTGGTAGGAATACCAGCTCTTTTGAATGAACTGACTTAAGTGGTTATCACTTACACTTGTAACCATGCCTATTCTTAGCTTTGCTGAATCCAAATATCCAAAAATTGAAGCTCGATCAGATTTGGGGTAACTAGTTTTTACTAGTTTCGATCAGGATTTGACTTAGAAGTGGGTAGAAACATATTTGCTGGGACTCTTCTATCCATCTTTTTAATTTTTATTCAATTTAGTGATTTTTTGTGCTTTATTATCTATTTTTAGATGTAATTTAAATTTAATATCATCCTTCCCATGCCAAGTTAGAGCAACCTGTCCGAGCCCAATCCATTCCCCCTTTCCCAGAAAACCCAAAAATGAAAAAGCAATGTCCAATTTTATAAACCTCTTCCATTGGTGTAGCAGTAGCACCATGTCTATAACTTTAATCCTGTGGTGATAGGCTATACTTTTTCTGATCACGCACAGGATTGACATCCAAACAAACACGAGGCTTTTCCAGTCCCTCTTTCATGTGAGAGTCATTACACTTGTACTGGAGAATTTGTTTATTTTCACTTATATTTATTTTCTGGAAATGTTGAATTCTTCCTTTCTAATTGTGCATTTCTTGTTTTTCCCCTTGAGTTCAGTATCTTCTGGATGATGTTGCGCTAAACCATACTCGATTGAATAAAATTCCCGTGCAGGTTAGATAACCTCAAAATCTCTTGATCTGTTCAGCTTTGGTTTTTGAATAAATCTTCTAGTTGGTTTATGATTTCTGCTAGCAATGGCATTTTGAAATTCACTACTTATAAAATTCTCAGGCTCAGCGAGATATGTATCTTTTGCTTTCAAGGTTTCTTCCATTTTATAACTCAGGTAGATATAGTGAGGAGTGGATTATATCCTGTGAATGACATTACACTTGTCTCATATAGTGCTCCCTTCTGCTTGCAGCTGACAGAATAGAAAGCTTCTTGAAACATTGTCCCGCTTTCCCAAATGTGTTCTTCGTAGGTGGCCCATCAGATATATTTGTTACTGAACTTACTGATCAGGTATACATACGTTGACATTCATGTGGTATAAAGAAATGGACGTGGGATTCTTATGCTAAGGTATTAGGCATATTTATGTTGGTAGCTTCTGAAGTTGAAGGTTGAACCGGTGCTGCTCTACTACCTTTCACAAATCACAATACTTCAGGGTACTACATTGACCATTCAGATGCTTTTAATTGACTGTTCTTTCAACTTTCCACAGTAATTTTGATCTTGGTCATTATGCAGGTATGGAATTGAGAATGACTACGAGTACGAGATTGAAGAGTTGTCTGTACAGTTTCACATGTCCTGGGGGTCCCATGTATCCCACAAGAGCTGTTCGCCATGCAGCTTGGCAGGCTTTAGATTTGCTTTTCCCTGTGAGTATTTCTTCATAATTCATGATTGAGTTGCCTTAATTAGCGAGAGATTTTTACCATTGCTCCATGCAATGTATGGCAAGTGAATTTGACTCATCAATCTTTAATGACCCCTTAATTTTTGATAGCTATAGGAATGAAAGATTTTGGTTTGTCAAGGCTAAAAGCTCATGATACAGGTTGGGCGATATCCTCGGCACCTCATTAGCCTGTTCTTCAGATTGCTTTATCCGTGGTATTGGCCCTCCTCCTGCTGGAACTTTGTAATTTCTTGCGTGAAGGCAATCTTTTGCTCCTCGCTGAGATTGATATTTTCTAGTTGGGAAAAGGTTCGCAAGCCTAAGTAATCGTAAATTCCCATCTACTTCCAGTAACCATATAGAATTTTTATTTTCCTACAAATCAAGAAGTACATTATCAGTAATCACTCCTTTGCAAGTTCACGGAAAAGCCTCGATCCTCCTGAATTTTTTCGGTCAGCGGGGTGAATTAACTTTATATTTTATAATGGCATGTAAAATCGTTATCAGTGTTAAACATAGATCTGCATGCAAAATCTGATGCAACCGGAAAAAGAATGCCATAGAAGAAGCAAGAAACGTGATTTAAAAGTAAATAGGTTTCATGTCCTTACTTTAAAAATAATAATAGAAAATAATTAAATAATAATCTTAAAGAATAATTATATAATAATTATCAAATGTTAGAAGACAATTTGGATCCCGAAATATAGTTTTAGATACGATTTATTTAATATATTTTATATTCTAAATAATTAAATTTGGAATAATTTAACCACTGTCATTAGTTTGAGATAAATTTGGGACAATTTAACCTCCCGTTAATTGGAGATAATTGGCCGTTTTCTCAGGTGGTGGGGCCCACGTGAATTTTTTCTCTCCAGGTCATAGTCGGCGTAGAACAGCGAAGCATCGTCCCCTACACCGGCAAGATCTTCCTCATCATCATCTTGCTTTTGCCCATTATTATTCTGAAGCCACGTCTCTCTCTCTCTCTTTAACCGCCACCACAACTGTTTCTTCTTCTTCAAAGAAATCTCCCTCCTGCAGTTGCGGTTCCACGCCACCATGATTCATCTCTCAATCACAAACAAAATCACACAACTTCGACTGGTTCTTCGTTCCTATGCTTCATGTGGGTTTTTAAGCGAGGGAAACTGGATAATAAAAGGGAAACAAGAGAGATTCTTTCTTTTTTAAAAAAACAAAAATTACATGTAAGTTCTACTCGACACAAATAATTACTCTCAGTAGTTTATTAATTGAGTTGAATGGAATTTTAAAGTAATTTTCTTTTTTTTTCCCTAGGTACGGATAAGTGAAAGGGAGATAGAGATCTTCCTCCTCGGTTTGTGTTGGATTAAGGAAGCAAAGGAGATAGGGTCTTGCCTTTGAAATCAAATCTGAAGGAGAGAAGCACCATATAGCATCTGGTTCTATCAAATATCATAATAACCACAATATCCACAAACATAATAACCACAATATCCACAAACAAATCAACCAAACATTATGGATAACAAGAACAATAGAATCTCTTATCTTTTTGAACTAAGAAAATGGCTTCTCTGTCCCCTCAAATCTTACAGACTTTTTTTTTTGGGAGTATTTTAATATTGCAGATGGCGACTTAAACAAATCTGGACGCAATACTTAATAGTTTGATCAAGAAGAAGGAGATTAGCAAGGTGAAATTTCATTCATGGCAGAGGAAGACAAAGAGAGCTGGAGATTCTTTCGTCTTTCTTAGAAAATTGAAGCCAATCAATCGAGGACTTTGACAAAAAAAAACCCCATTTTTGGGAGAGATGTTTCATAATACTCTAAAAAAAGTTTTCATTTTTTTTTTTTTTGGTTGTCTAAAATATTCCTATAGTTGGCAACGGTGCGACGAATCTCCTAAAAAACTTAAATACGATTTAAAGAGTTGTTTTCTTTTAAGTGATAATTTTTATACACACCTTCAAGAATTAAATTTTAAAATAATACTTAAAGGATTTAGGTTACAATTTTAAATTTGATCACAGTTTTTCTTTTACAATGTGTGAGAAAGAAAATTAAACTAGCCCATGAAGAAGAAATAGAGGATGCCAGGCGCACAGAAAATTAACCTATGTGGGCCCCCACCACTTTGAGAAAATGGCCTTTTATCACAAATTAATTATAAGAGTTAAATTATCTCAAATTTAATTACTTAAAGTTATGCCAATTTTAATCTCAACTTATACTCAATCACTCTTTTCCATAATTTTATTATATGACTCATAACTTTAAGGTTAAAATACATAAAACTTTCTTGAACTTTAAGATAATTGCATATAACATCTCTTACTTTTAAAAGTTTAAAATTAACCCCTCTAACCTTTAATTTTGTTTTGCAAAATCCTTATTATTAATTATACTATTTTCTTAAGAGGGTTAAAATGTTATTTAACTAAAAAATGTCATTAAAAATATATTATATTGTATAACTATTTATAATAAATTTTTTATATTTTTTAAATAGTTGAAGCATTAATAATAGTCAAAATAAATGTTATTATTACCATATAAAATTTTAAATATTTACTTTTGTGTTAGTTTTTTATATTTTTTTATCAATAGTGCATAGTTTTTCAATACTAAAAGATAAACTAATCTAACATGATAATATTTAAAATTTTAAATATTTTAACCATGTGCATTTCATTAATCTAACATGAAAATATAAATAAAAATTTTTCTTTAAAAACACTAAAATCATGCATCATTGATAACAAAAAATATGAATAAAACTAATATAAATATAAATATTTAAAATTTTATACATTGATAATAACATATTCTTTTTGTTATCAATACCTCAACTATCCAAAAATATATAAAAAATTTATTATAAATATTTATACAATATAATATTTTTAATAAAATTTTTTAGTTAAATGACATTTTAATCCTCATGAAAAAATAACATAATTAACAGTAGGGGATTTTAAAAAATAAAATCAAAAGTTAGGGGGTTAATTTTAAACTTTTAAAAGTAAGGAGGTTATATGCAATTATTTCAAAATTTAGAAAAATTTTATACATTTTAGCCTAAATTTAATCCCTTTATAGTTAGCATAATTTTAAATATCCTTTTTAATTTTGTAAATAGGAACTCAGGTACTTTTCCTCTAATTGTCAAGCTCTATTAGACTGTAAAATATCATTAAATAACTTAGTTAATCATCGCACCTTTTTTTTCACCCAAACATTTTCACACTTTAATGGAGATACAATCAAGTCTATTGGCTTTAACATTTGTCATTTTTTTAAAAGCTTCTTTTACCTCCGAGTTACATATCCTTTAATAGAATGACAAATTTTATTCTCCTCCAAAAATTACTAAATCCTCAAGACTTATTGACAAACCCCCACCATCACTAAAAAGTTAAAAAAAGCAAGTCTCCTAGTTGTCTTTGATATTATCATCTATAATCAAAACATTTTTCTATAATCAAAACATTTTTCTTTTCATCTTTTATACACTTTACTTGTTCTAAATCTCTTGATTTTCTTTCTTTACTTTTAGAAATCTTATAAATTTTTTATTCTCCATCTTTTATCCCAAAACCAGTATAAAACTCTTTAAATGCTTTAAAACAAGCTTTACTCACATCCTTTTTAGTTTCTATTTTAGCCATATAATACAGTTCTCAATTTTTATCATTATTGCATAAATGGATGGCTTCAAAATAATTCTTCTTATGCCTAATTTTTTCTTACACTATCATTCCATCAAGACTCTTTATCTCTCAAACAAAAACTTTTACAAACTGAAACAATATAACAAAATTTTATAGTTGACTTGGAATTAAATTGCAGGCTGCGCAGGCCTTTATTTGCAGTCATTCATTGATCCACAATCAATTTCGAAGACATGTTGGCTGGATATTGATTCAATGAATAGCACGTTATTTGCATAACATGACAGTTTCAATAGTTTCATAACCCTCAAAAAGCATCTCACAGGATCGATGAGCTAGTGATCCAAACTTTCATATCTCAACAGACTTTTAATGATGCTGAAATTGATAATTATTAGCAACAATTATCAGCTGATATTGTATTTATAACAGGTCATTATTCACTTTAATTTTGTAATAAACTTAAATATCAATCTTAAAACATACTTTCTCCATTTCTATATATAAGAGAAAAAACTATATCACACAGTTTAAAAAAATTAGTTAACCTTAATAATTATGTCTAAAAGTAAAGAAATTAGACTAAAATGTCCTATGTTCATCAATATAAGCATGCATTAATTATTTATCATTAATGTAAATTATGAGGGATAATTTAGGAAATATATAATAAATGTTTATTAAAATATGTGATTTTGTTAAGATAAAAAACAAGTAAAAAGGTGGTAATTTCTCTTATAAATATAAACAGAATAGTACATAGTTATAAATACACACCAAAAAAATAATCACATCCAAAAATAATCAACCATTGCCAGCAAAGAAATTAAATGCTTCAAACATTTAAATACCAGAATCCGGAGCAGTTCACATAAGCAACAATAAACTACAAGCATATCCTCTGGGGGCTCCATTTGAATTTCCAAAAGAACCATTTGCAGCAGGAGCGGCAGCCGGCCTAGCAATGTTTGTTCCCACAGTCTCTATCTTTATTGGTTTCCCGATGAGTTGAAACATTGCTGTATCTCTTCACAGCAGCAACTGGTCAAGAGTAGACAACCTCTCTGCCCCATGGGAAATGAATTCGTTTTCCCGTTTAAACTACAGCAGAACACAAATAATTTGATCAGAAAGACCAAACCATTCCAATTTGACAAGACGCCTTCTTTCTGTGACTCCTGCTGTAATGTATTGAATACCATTTCAGATCACTAACTGCAAAAAATAATCCCTGCACAGATGAAAAGCGATATTGAAACAGCAAGACACGCAAAATCACCTTTTAATTCTAATTTTGATAAGCAAGAAACTAATTCAGACAAGATGACATGTATGACATTGAACTGAGTGATTTAAAGATACAACAAGCCATTTCAATAACAAATAACATGCAAAACTTGCTGGACCTATACTGAAATCAGTGTAGAACTTTCATATGAAAATGCATTTTGACAAATCCAATTGTCGGCTTTACTGTGCCAATGTCGTACTCTGCTTGAATCTTCAAAATCCACTTGTGACATTTTCCCTTCTACCTTGTGCGAGAATATGAATAACTGGTGGGCAGAGAAATTAGACATTAAAACAATTAATGGGAATCTCTATTAAAGGTCAAAAAATAAAAGATTAATCAATTTCATCCTACAATGGAGAGATTACATCCTAACTTTACATGGACGTACCAAGTCATAATTATGTTGTATGCATATATAGGCATATGCTTTCATGAATGTTTAAAGAGGAATAAAATAAATGCACAATCATTTTAATACCAAATTTCACACATGCAGCTAATACAATGGCCACACATAATGAATACACTATAATTTGTAGAAACTACATGCCAAGACACAGGCAGAGAGGAATAGCCAGATGAACTATAAATTCCAAAATACACTATAAAAACAACAACAGCAAACATTTTCCCATTAAGTGGGATCGACTCCAATATACTATAAACCTTAAAAAAAATGTCCTCTATTCAAATATCTTCAGCTATGATTTTTCAGCTCTGTTGGCATCGTAACGAGGTGAATCTATTGAATAGGTTACTCCAAAGGGGAAGCACTACACACTTCTTTACCAACAAGAATAAACTTAAGAGCTCGAAACTCATCAACACATCTTGGAATCAACGATAAAAATTCTAGCTATGCCAATTAAAACTCCAAAAGCCAAAACTTATGCAAAAAGTTTCAGATAGAGACATTCAAATACTCCGCAAAAAAATCTATTGTAGAGAAATGAGAAATTCCTGTTGGAATACTTATAAAATATATATATATATATATATATACTGTGGATTTGCATTAATTAAATATTGAGTGCAGAATAGATTGATTTTTATGATCTTGTGTGAACCGTAGACCACACAAGTGAGGCCCACCTAAAACTTTTTAACAATCAATTATTCTCTATCTCTTAACTGACCAAGTGAAAAATAATGAAAGATTAACTAATTAATTAATTAATTGTTGAGGCGATTTGATATGATTAATGTAATGTAATCAGTTGATAACTAACATACAAAATTCTCTTTTCCATCCTCTCCACTATCTCTACACCCTCTCAAAAACCATGGGGTCTAGTAGGTTATAAATTTACTTACACTGGAGGTAATTGAGGAGTAACAAGGCATACCTGTTAACTTCTTATCTTATTTAAATCATATGAATTGAGATACTAATCGCAACGATACCTTGACATTACTATGGAAGATGCTCGAACACCATGTGCAAGGTATGCTGCGGCAGGTTAATACGTAATTACGTATGCATATCGTGCTGCCATGCCATCTCTGGGGCATAGATGCCACCAAAAGGCACAAAAACAGCACGAGCGATTGCGACACCGTCTAACAAGATAATAGATCAAATTCAAATCCAATGGGAGTAGATTCAAATAAAGCAAATGAAAATCGATTAAAATTAACTAGGACACTAGGCTACCTTAGAAGCTGTATAAGATGCCACTCGATCGGCAGCGCGTTTAAGGAGACGACGACCGCGTCCGGAACCGGATTTTCTACCCCCGGCCCTTGCAGCTACAGGATTTCGAAGTTTTGTTGTTCTTGACTATGTCGTCCAGCCTCATATCGAAAGCTGCAAACATTTTTATCAACCTTTATCTTCAACACAGAGAGATGACCAGACAAAGAAAGAGGAATGGATATCAGGATATGAGGAGACGGCGGAGTTAGACGCATAATTCCAAGGGAGAAGGGGGAAGCGATGGGATAGCGGAATAGCCTACCTGATATGGATATAGTGATGAATAAATATTTGGCTCACAAAGCATTAAAGGTATCATGGTGTAGTTGGTTATCACGTCAGTCTAACACACTGAAGGTCTCCGGTTCGAGTCCGGGCGATGCCATCAACGATTTTGAATTTCATCGCCTCTCTTCACTTGTATGATTTCTTTTTTGACCAACATCCATTTCTATGCATCTGAACAAAAGATCCACAAGCTTTTACATATTTATATTTATATATACACTACAACCGTTATGGATAGGTCTCATTCAGTCATGCTACAATCACCACTATCTTCGTTTTGCAACGCGTGTCGATCTCTGGATATGCCAGTAAGGTTGTTAGGAGAGGAAGTTTTCGGACAACATGGTGATACTATTGGGGGTAATCTTTCGAGGAATTCCAGAGAGGACGTTGAAATTTGAAAGTCCTGTAATGATACCAAGGCGACAAGATACACGTATTTTATTTTTTTGGGGTAAACAAAACACTTCCAAACTTTTGTAATAAGAACTTTTGGAACATTTATTATTAACTTAAAAGAATATACAAAATATTCTCTCTAATCTTATTTATAGGACAGAAAGAGAAAAATTTTTTTGATCCTATTTATAAGTCACACCATTAAATTTTTATTATTAATTTTTTATTTTATCCTTTATTAAATGTTGAGGAGAGAAAATATGTTATTGAAATATGTATATTTAATAGAAATAAAATTAAAAACTTATTAAATTTTAAAATAGAGTTAATAAATTTTAAAATTTTCTTTAATATTGATAAAATATGTTATAAGTAAGTTATAAGTAGCATTAAAGGAGTAATTAACAGTCATTCACCGTCTCTTGAAAAAGAGGAGGAAAATGATCAAAAATACAAAAATCTTACTTCCAACTTTTCAAGTACCAACAATTCTTCAGTGAGTTGGAAAACTAACACAATGAACCCCTTGTCATTTTTTCAAGTCCTGCATCACATTTTTATTATCACCATTTTCCAAGCCTATTTATTTTTTATAAATAAACTAGAAGTGCAAAATATTAAAAATACAATCATCATATTAAATTTATGGACAGCCAGTTCATCCAACTGCAGGGAAATATATTCGTCGCTTCAGCAGAAGCCTTAATAATCAGACATGATTGGAAGAGGGTAAGAAAGAAAACAGCAGAGTAATTGCTGAGGCTCAAATTGTTAGACAAACCATGCTGGTCTGCTTGACTTGTAAACAATCAATCAAATTGAAATAAAAGCATCTTGGTGCTGGAGGTGCCAAAACCAAACACCTGCGAAAAGAACATCGGAACTAACACTAAACAACAAAGAACAGTAGGTCCAGAACACGCCCTGGTGACAAGCATACGCCTTTTTCCCCGAGGGAGAGACTGTTAACACTTTCTCGGCCAGAGACAAGCATTTATATTTATTTTTTATAACTGCCTTAAAGTTGCAGCGAAGACTTGTGCAGAGAAGCTTCTTTGATTAGAATCAGTAATCCATATACCTTACAGCTGCAATACCAACAGTAAACGGTTCTATACCACAAATTCTACAGCGCATCGAAGGGGCATATAGATCCAAACCCGTCAAATATATAGCATCAACAATAAATAAAAACCTGCAAGCTACAAATCTAGACTTAAACCTAATGGATACCCTTGAAATCATCCTAGACTCTTTCAAGAGCTAGTAAATTTAGTCACGGCCTTTGTTCCTTCAGAAACAGCATGTTTGGCCAACTCTCCCGGCAAAACAAGTCTCACTGCGGTTTGAATCTCCCTGGAAGTAATTGTAGGCTTCTTGTTGTATCGAGCGAGTCTAGAGGCCTCCTGAGCAAGTTTCTCAAAGATATCATTGATAAAACTGTTCATGATTCCCATAGCTTTGCTGGAGATCCCAATGTCGGGGTGGACTTGTTTCAGCACCTTAAAGATGTAGATCTTGTAGGTCTCGATGCTCTTCTTGTTCCTCTTCTTCTTCTTATCGCCGGCAGCAGCAGCACCCTCCTTGGGAAGCTTCTTCCCGGCCTTAGGCTTCTTCTCTGCCGGTGGAGCCTTTTCGGCCACCGTGGACTTCTTCTCCTCCGCTGGCTTCTTCTCAGCAGGTTTTTTCTCAGCTTTGGGAGCCATTGGAAACCGTAAAGAAGGCTAGGGTTCGAGGAATTGACCAGGAAAATTGTAATTGCAACCGCAGATTGAAGGAGCGTATTGAGATATGGAGGAATAAGGGAATGCTTAATATATAAAAGTATCTATGTATTCTTATTGGTTGCTTGGGTTACATGCGGATCAATGACTTGGATATTAATTTATTCGTCGGATACTTCAAGGACAACGCATTTGATCGACCGCAGCGATGCTTTGATGACGTATCAGGAGCGCGGATCGATGACTTGGCCGTTGCCTGGTCTGTTAAAAAGCATTCGATTCTACCCGTAGATTGACGAATGAGATTGTTTCCGCCATCTTTCTGCTTCTTTTTTTTTTTTCCCAGTACGCTCTCTCCATATAAAAATGGAATAAATTGTCTTTCCCGGCGGAATCTTTTCGCAACTGCAAGCTTAATTTTAGCGCCAAAATGCGTCAATACTGAGGATTGAGGAGTTTGAATTTGATTAAAAGATGAATACATTTGTGGATTTTATTTTCGTCAAATTAATTGTGAAAATAACTCTACTTGCGTTTTTTTAAACTGACTTTTTGTGGCTTTTAATTTTTTTGGATGAATTTTTGGGGCAAAACAAACCCAAATATCAGCTCAAAAGTGGCATCTTAATTTTTTGGTTGGCTGGGAACCCAATTTCTGCATTATACTCCCTCCAATTTTATTTATAAGGGATGCTCTAAAAAATTTATTTGGTCTCACGATATGACTTTTTAAGTAATATTTAAAATATATTTTTAAGATTATTCTTTATAAAAAAAAAGTAACATGACATTACTTTTTTAAATTTATTATATAGGAATATATTTGAAATTCTACACACTTTTATTCATTGTACTCTTTTTGTATTGATATTGATGAAATTGATAAAAATAATTTATAAAAAAATAAAAAATATATATAGTATATATCTAGAAAGTTCCTCCCCAACAATCAAAATTCCAACAAAATAAATAATGGATAATGCAATTTCCTTTTCCTCTCCCTTTCCCTTTTTCCCAACCTCATTTTCTTGTGAACCAAGCAAGGTTCACGGGATGCTCAGAAGGTGTTGTTTACAATGTGTTTTACATGATTAAAAATTAATTTTAAGTATAAGGTACAATGTGCTTTACATGATTAAAAATTAATTTTAAGTGTAAGGTATCAAACAAAATTATGAATTAATTTTTTGGCTTATACCTTTTAATTTATGAAATTATTTTAACCAATAATAAAATGATCTATCGTCTATTAAACCATGTATTTTAATGATTATAAAATCAAGAGAAGTGATGTTTGTTACTTGTGTAGATATTAAGATCCATTAATGTGACAAAACCTTCAATAACATGAAGAATTAAGAGAAGAAGTTCTATAGATTTAGTTATTTATTTCTTTTAAATTCAATGTAAAAATTATGAAAACTTAATCACATGTCATTAATTTAAAGTGAATGCATCATCTTTAGGTTCATAAGTCCATTGATCTTGATTGTCATACATTTAGAATGCATTTGTGTTTAATTGTACATTTCAAGCTTGATCAGGAATGATCTATGCTTGAAATGATCTTTGTTATTCATTATAGGACTTATCTTAATCAATTCAAACTTGAAAGAAAAGTGAGTCATGCTTAAACTATATCATAAAAGTTAAGCTTTACACTGCATGGCATTTCAAACTTGAATCAGGATTGATTCATGCTTGATTTGTCACTCTAGACACACTGTATGATGTAACAGCGATGGCCATTTGTCTAGCAGGCCACGACCAGTATTGAAACTAACCATGTCACTGTGGTGAACCTAGTTTTTCCCAAAGTGATACTTGACTCAATAGTACGAGACCTAACCTCGACTTCATTAAGGTGAGAGAAATTGGAGGTTCAAGTCTTGAGAGATCCCTTGAGTAAGGGGGATACTCCATGGTACCAAACTAAGTCTTAACTTCCTTAAGGTGGTAAAGGTTAGAAGTTCGAGTCTGAGAAGACTCTAAAAGATTCCTTTAATAGGGTGAGGAATAGCCTAAATACCACCTTGAAAAATGTTAGTTTCGCTACCATGAGGTAGGTTGGCCCAATCAAAAAGACCCCCAGTAAGGTAGGGTAAAGACTGTTACATAAAAGCCTTTTATGTAATAGTTCTCAACCCACCCCACCGAAGGTCTTTTGGACTAAGCCAACCCATTCAATAATACCAGACTTAACCTCAACTTCCTTAAGGTGGTAAAAGTTGGAAATTTGAGTCTGGAAAGGCTCCAAAAGACCCCTTTAGTAGGGTGAGGAATAATCCAAGTACTACTTTAGAAAAAGCTAGCTTCTACTATCGTGAGGTGAGTTGGCCCAATCTAAAAGACCCCCAATAGGGTGGGGTAAGGACTATTACAATTGAGTTAGGATTTACCCACTCACTTATATAATTCAATTTCTCCCAATACTAATAATTATAAGGTGTCGTACCCCTAATCTAGCCTCCTCGTGAATCAGTAGAGACTGGTTAGGTTTGAATCCCTCATAGAATAAGTGGGACAGTCCCAAATCACTTATGGGACAAGGGCTATCTCTCAATTCTAACAGTCGACACCAAGGCAAGTTCTTGATTCTTACAGTCACTGCCAATATTATGTGAATTTAAATTAATCTATTCCTCTCTCTAGGCGAACTCTCGCTAATGATCATGCAATGGATATTTTTCACATAATATGCATTTCAAATAATCAATCTATGGCATATAAACTCACATACTCCACATACTAAACACATTACAAGTTACAATTTTTCACCCTCAATAACATGTAAAAATTAAATTCATAAATCACAAATGGGTGGTATGATAAAGATTTTCTTTTTTCTAAAACCATTTTATAAATAAAAGCATATTGCCAAATTGCATCATTAATTTAAATCATCAATCACGTTTCACAAACACAATTAATATTTAGCTATAAAAATTAGGTTATCCCTAGTTACCTCAAACCTTTAAAAGGTCAAAGATTTACCCCTCATACAAAATACTTCCAAAGCTTCTCCTAAGCTCAAATGGTGCCAAGTCAAATCTTACTACATTAATAACATAAGGATACTATCATTGTCTCAATTTTGAGGATTTGCCAATACCAATCTCTACATATCTATTCCATTAATCTTATACGTCACTACTCATTTATACCCAATAGGTTCATTAGACTCCATTAATTTACAATATCATTAATAACTCTTTAAACCACCATTAATGGTCCATCAACACTTCCAACATCCATATTAAATACAATTTTCGTATATTAATGGCTCTACCCAACAAACTCTTGATAGAATTATCAATATAGGGTTTAACTATCTCAAATAGATCCCATTATATCCATCTTATCTAATGGGATCGGACCCATAACTTCTCTAAACTGAAAATCACCATAAATGCTTAAACCCTAACTCAAATCTTTATAAATAAGGGAGAGTAAGGAAGAAGAAGGTATAGATTGCTTATCTTGGGTGTTTGAGAGTTTCAAACTATCATCAATGTGCTCCAACAACATGCCCTAGCAGAGCTTTAGTCGAGCTCTTTGTTTTCTTCCTCTCTTCTTCTCTAATTTTTCATGTAGAGACATATATGATAAAGAAGATTTTTGATCATGCGCTGTAGCGCACGCAACCCTTTGCCACTGTGTATAGCACAAAGAGGCCATTACATTTGAATATGACCTTGTGCGCTATGGCGGATTGATCACATGCCACGACATATGACACAAAGGGTATTCCTTCACCTTTTCTTCCTCTTCCCTTGCCCAGGTGGCTCGCCATCAATTCAAACTCACTTCTAAGGCTAAAATTATAATAAATTATATTAATTAGGTCCCTTTGGCACACACCTCATTAACTCATTAATCACACTCATCAAATTAATAAATCATAATTAAATTTTCTTAGATGTTACATAAACCACTCAATAACCTTTGAAATCCTTAAGCCTTGGTAGAGAACGAAGCTTCTTGTCGCAATACTTTTTTTCTTCAACCTTTTCTTCTGTTTTTTTGCAAGCTGAGTTTGCATTTTAATATTTAGAAATGACCATTCGTCGTGGTAGATGGTACGAAGAAGACTTCTCCATATTTTGCTCCCTAACTAGGCTGGAGTGGCCCAATTTCTTTCTGAACTCCATCTAAAGGTTATAACTATGACCCAATAAGTTCATTAGTCTTCTCTAACCATTCTCAAACCCAATTTTTGATTTAATTCACTTAAATTTACTTACTCATCCTTTACTAACTTGATTAAACTTGATTCCTATGGCGGCATGCGGAAGAAAGAGGAGGAATAAGGGAATTGATTATGGTGAAGGGGAAGAAGATGGAATGAAAGGGAAGGGAATTTTATTTTATTTTTGGTCAAGAAGGACATTGCATTTTTTTAATAACTGTTAAAACAAACATAAAAAAATAATTTAACTTTAACACTCTTAACAAGTAAATTATCAATAATCCTTATGGCATTACATTTCATCACCTATCTTTACATTTTATTACATATGATTCATTGAACCAAAGAAGACATGTGGACATAGATAATTATACTTGCTCATGACTATAATTGCTTGCCCTGTTTGTTACTCCTTCCATTAAAAAATGTAAGGCATTTTCTTAAGAAGTTGAATGTTAAAAAATATAAGGTATTTTTAGTCTTTCAAGGTGTAATCATTGCCTTTTTTTTTAAAGTGCCTATATTGACAGTGACTTTATATTTATTATAAAGTGTTTAATAAAGGTAAATATAAAAAGATATAATTAGGTTAAAAGTAGATAACTATTTCATTAAGGGGTGAGATTCAGTTAAAAATACTTTATATTTTTGAACGAAGGGTGTATCTCTCCAGTGATGTGGCAATTCCTACATCATTAGATCCCTTCAACGCTGGAGATAGGAGGAAAATATTCCCTCCACAAAAGAAGAGGATATAGTTGCACTTCAAAACTTTTTTATATTCAAAAAAAGGGGAGATTAATCATTCTTTTTTTTTAATTTTAACTCAATTATAACTCAATTCTTCAACTTTAAGTTATTATAACTCAGTTCTTATAATATTTATCTTTATATTTTTAAAAAAAATTATAAATATTAAAATTATGTTAAAATATAGTGTAAATATTTTAAATCACTAAAAGCTTTAATATTTATAATTTTACTTTTTTAAAACACAAGACTAATATTATAAATGGTTAAAACTGTAAAGTTAGGTCTTGTTTGGTTGATGCAAAGAAAATGAATGGAATGGAATGAAATGATTTGAAAAAATTAACATAAAAATGAACTAAATCACTCTTCCACCTCATGGTAAGCATAATAAAATTTATTAATATATACTACAAATGTGAGAATCATTACATTCTCTAAAAATATCATGAATTATGATTTTCAACCCCATAAACTATGTAACATCCTGATTTTTTATATAATAAAGAAATTGTGGAATTTAGGTTTTGAAAAAAAAATGATAATAATAGAAATTTATATTATTTGAGGTTATTTAGAAATAATATTATGGTTAGGTATTTAATTATGAATTTAAAAATTTAAATTTAAAACCACATAAGCAAAATTTAGTTACGATATAATACATAAATAATTTTTTTTTATGTATGTGTTGAAAAAAAAAAAGAGAAGGTAGAAGGAACAAAAAAAAAGGGGGTGGAAGGTTATTGTTTCTAAGTCCCACATTGGTTAGATGAGGGAAGAAAGAGGTGCCTTCATGTATAAAAAGGAGGGGGTGTGTGCATTAGGAAGCATGAGAGGCTAAGATACAATTTATAGAAAATTACAACTTTTGGCCCAAAGGTTTGAATAATTAAATTCAAACCTATAGTTTTTTTTAATATAATTTTGGGACTCACAATCTCATTTTTATATTATTTTTCTCTCTTCCTCTCACGTTGCTCAGCGTTTTCTCGCAAGGGGGGATTATTTTCTTTTTCTTCGGGTATGTTCTAACTTTCCTGTTTAGATTAGCATTTAAAAATTTATTTAATTACAAAATTAATTTTATAGTTATTTTCTAAATAATATTAGCTTTCTAGTGATATGATTATTTTGTAGGATAGAGTAAATATTTTGATTAGAATTTTTCTATAGGATAGTTAATCTGATGATATGATGGATTAAAAATATAGGTTAAAATTCTTAGGGATATAAAAAATATTATAGAATATTTTCTTAAGGTTGAAACTCATGTTTAAGAATTTTTGAGTTAAAATATAGATATATATGGTTGAATTTATGTGTAATCTGAGACGTAGGGATAAACCTATGATTATTAAATATTTATTTAAGTATGAATAGGTATTTTTGAGGTTATAGAAAGGTAATTTGAGGCTTCAGGATAATTTTAAAATTTTTAATTTATTTTTGGATGAATTTTTAGAATATATAAGGATGAAATTGTGATACTAGAAGTGAATTGAGGATAAAAAAAATAGTTCATTAGGGTACGAGAATTTTAGAAAAGAATTTGGGAAGTTAAATGAGGCATAAATCTTAAATTAGTGTTAATATGGACTATAGATCTAAGACTTTCTAACTCTTTAAATTAGAGTTATTTATTTTAATGTAAAATTAATATATAGTATTGTGAAATAATTATGTAGATTATATTGACAAAGATAGTGGTGAAAAAGGAGTTGTGAAGGGGAACTTGTTATTCAAGACACAAGGTAACCATTATTAATGTGTTGTGATGGGTGTGTTTGTGAATGGTTATGTGTTGTTTTGTTGTTTGAAAAAAATTATGAATTATTGAAAATAAATACTGTATATACTTGTTTGAAATTATTGCCAAGTGGGTTAAAAATTTATTTTTGTTTATCATGATGAGATATTATTGTTCGGATATATTCCTGTTTGGATATTTGAATGATGCATGACTTGTCAGGGTATTTTAATGTATGGTGTTAATGGAAATTTCTGTTCGGTTAATTATTACCATGTGGTAAGCCCTCATTGGACCCAATGAGTGGCGTGTCGCTTGGTCCAACTCACCTTTGGCCGGGTGATTTGGCGTCCGAGCATGGTGAAAGGAGGATATAAGGTGCAGTCATGCAATTAAATACTTGTTCGGTTTGTTTGAAAATATTGTTCGGTTAAATGTTTTGTGTGCCCACTTAGCAATCGCATGATTAGTTACATCCGCATGCATCATTACATATTAATTTTTGGTTACTGGGACTTTTAAGTCTCATTCCCCGTGGTTAATATTTTTATAGGAGCGAATCCGGTCGAGAAAGCACCAGAAGTGTAATTATGGTGTATGAGACACCATCTTTTACGTTGCCTCTTATTTTGGATTATACAATGTATCTTGTGCCAACTTAAGACATATCTTGTCTATGGAACATGTAAACTCTAATCCTTTTTATTAAATGCATTTATATGTCCAAGAGGATTATGTCTGTCCCTTTTGATTCATGACCTAATTTAAATAACATGCTATGAGGATCATGTCTGTCCCTCATGGTTCTAATTGCTTTTTGAGATATTTTAAGACCTGTGGTATATTGTCTTGGATGTATCATGGTAGAAATTTTTCTACCATGATAAGGGTATGATAAGGGTTCAATGAAAAAAAAAGAAAAAAAAATGATTTCTTGAATTAATAATTTGCGAAAAATCGGTTTGTAAATTTGAGGGTGTTACAAACTAAATTATCCATCTTCTTTATAGATGTAGTTCACTATTCTTTTTTATTATCTCATTTTATTTTTATTTTTTTAATCCATATCATTTTATTTCTTTCTAACAATCAAATGGGATCTAAGTTACAATAGTCAAAGTTCAATGATTATGTTACAATCAAATTAAAAGTATAGAGAAAGCACTATTTTTGATCCTCATATTTTGCTCGAGTGTTATTATCGATTTTCATTTTTTTTGTATTTTTAGTTTTTATATTTTTCTTTATCTACAATATTAGTCCCTGCAGTTTTAAAGAAATTTTGACATGATATAAATGGTATTAAAATTGCTAACATGTCCACTAGTATTGTTAAATTTGTGCATATGTGTTAAATGGATGTTGAGTTAGACTTTTTAATAAATAAAATAAATTTTAAAAAGCTATATCAAATAAAAAAAAGGTGACGTGGAGTAGTAAAAAACTCTCAACTTAAAATATCTAATTTTAAAGTAAAAAATGATTTTAAAATTAAAAATATTTAATTAATTTTACTTTAAAATTAAATATTTTTATGTTTTAAAATATATTGTTGAGATACTTAAAAAATGGAGAAGACTCAATTTTTTTTTAAAATTTTTTCTGGTCTTAAAGTTTAAAAATAAAGATTAAAATATAATTTAAATATTTTTGAGATTTTTCTAGATGTTTTAAGTTGCTGGTTTTTTTTTTTAACCATACAGCCTTTTTTTTTTCAAATGTAATTTTTTTTTAATTTATTTTGTTTATCAAGAATTCAAACTCAACATCCATTTAATATATCCTCACAAACTTAATAGCATTAGTAGATATATCAATAATTTTAACACCACTTATATCATGTTAACATTTCTTTGAAATTATAGTTGCCAATGTTATAAATGAAGAAAAGTATGAAGACATGAAATACCAAAAAAAAAGTATAAAAACTATAATAAAATTTGAGCAAAATATATTAACAAAAAGTTAGTGTTTTCTAAAAATTATATTAATTAAATTGTAATAAGTCATTTAAAAATTAAATTATAATTGGATTAAAATTATAATAATTAAATGATTAATTTTTTATTAAAAAAAAAAACGAGAGGAGCCCATCATGGGCAAAGGGTGCGCACATTAGCGCCTCAACGGGGCCGGGGGAACTCCAAAGTCGAAGGCTGGTAACAGCTCCCACATCAAAATTTTAGTTAAAGGGGGAAAAATTACACAAAAAAAAAAAAAAAAGAATCTCATTCCTTTCTCTCCAAATCTCCATGTTCCATCACTTGTGAGCTTTGGAGATTCTCTCGCTCATTCGCCCTTCCATTTCTGATCTGGTATAGTATTTGTATCAGATCTCTCGGTCTTGCATTTCGTAGAGAAATTATTAATCAACAGTAAAATGATTTTTGTGCAGAGAGGAATAATCATTATCGAGGATTTTATTGATCGATTGAAGGTTGATGGCTGCTCCACCGGCAAGGGCTCGTGCGGATTACGATTACCTTATAAAACTCCTCTTGATTGGCGACAGTGGTGCGTGGCATCTTTCCTCTCATCATTTCACAAAATGTGTGATTCGGAGTTTGAAAGGCATAACTAGTGATTCTCTTTTTAGTTTTTACAGAATATTATCTCTTGCATCTATTTATGATTTAGTTTGAGCGTGAATTTGAACCATTGTTCGGTTAAAATGCAATTTCGACGTGAACATATCAAACTTGAATGTTCGTTTCGATATTGATCTCACAATGTTGTTGCGCATTATGTATGAAGTCGATCATCTCTCTGATTCAATTAACTTGTTTAATTCGCATCACATAACTTGCCAAAGCAGTCCTCGAATGGGCTGGTAACTTCTAAAATGAAAGACGACTGTGGTTGATGATCCAAGTAAACTTCTTTCGTCACGGAATTACACTAATAGAAATTATCAACCTGTCCAACTTTTGCTACAACATCAAAGTGTCACACCTCCATCATCTCCATGTGTTGGTTTGTGACTTTTGTCCAGGGAAATCAAACGATAATAACAATATTAATAGTTTGTTAGGGCGCTTAAAAAAGTATGTTGGGGAAATCATCAAATCTAGTAATGGTGCTCTACCATACAGCCTTCGTGGATTGAGGATAAGCCTCCTCTGCTATTAATTTTTGCAGGTGTGGGAAAGAGTTGCCTTCTTCTGCGTTTCTCAGATGGTTCTTTCACTACTAGTTTTATCACAACCATAGGGTGCGTTTTCACACCATAGGAGTAAATCTGCTGATCACGGTTTGCTATAAGTCTCTCTTACATCACACAATGTATCTTCCCCGTGCAGCATTGATTTCAAAATAAGAACCATTGAGCTTGATGGCAAGCGGATCAAACTCCAAATTTGGGATACTGCAGGTCAGGAGCGGTTTCGAACGATTACAACTGGTAAGGTTTCTGATTCTTATTGATATCAGAACTGATGTGCCCATAGTGGGCTGTCGTTGACAATTCTGCATACATCGCAGAACTAAATCAAGTCCCTTAAACCAAAACTAATGCTGAAGCCTGAAACAAGCTAACCTTTAAACTTGTTATGGTTTTCCACCACTTTCATTGACGGTCTTATGGAATTTAAAGGACAAAAATTTTGGCTGCATCTTTCTTGCGGATTTTTTATTTAACTTAATGATTGATCAATCTCTTCTTGGGTGCAAAAGAGGCATGAGGCATAGGAATTAGGAACTGATGATCAGGGTAATATCTGGATCAAATCCATGTGTGGTATGGCCTCTTACTACTTTGGTCTATTTGATTATTGGAAGGGCTATTAATGGAAAAGAATGGAATGGAAACGCTAATAATATTAGGAATGCAGAAATAAATTTATTTTTTATATTGACTAAATAAAAATGTTATTTAAAAAACAAAAATGCTTTCAACAAATTTTTCCCTCCCCTTCTTTGTTCTTCTTCCCTCTTCTTGACAGCCATCACAACACGTCCATTGCAAACCCACCATCACCATTTCCTTCAAGGCTTCAACCGTTCACCACCACAGTTGCTACCACGTCTTCCTCCTCCTATAACCTCATTCCCTCTCCTCTCAGCAGCAAACGCATGTTGCTATTTGCTATAAGAAAAGGGGATCTTGAATCAAATCTAGTAAAATCAGGATTGTTCCCACCCTCTGTTGATAACAATGATGCACGTTTCAGTTTATTGGTGATGGTGGTGACTAGAGATGATAGTAAGCTGTCAAATCCAAATGAGCCTAAGAGGGAGCCCTGGACTTGATAACTCTAATGTTGGTATAGATTTGAGCAAGCCTTCTGACATTACTCTTCAAATGGCTATAGAAGTGGCTGCTTGGAGGGGTTTTCAGAAATGTCAACATGAAGGAGAGAGAGGATTAGGGGAAATTGGAGGATACTTTTGACATTTCAGTTTGATTCTAGGTTAAGAATGACCATTTCTCTCATTTTTAGAACCAATCCCCATTCCCATAAATGTGGTCACATGTGGGAAAAGCTACTTTAAGAATTAGGTTGTCTTATTGAGGGAATCGAGAGCTTTTTCCCAATTCCTTACGGCTTGATTTCCATAACCAAACGGCCCGTAGTTTGATAAAACCAGTTATAACTAGAAGATAAGGATGAAAGGAGGAGAATGAAATAATAGGCAGAGAGAAATCATTAGAATACTAAGTCAAAATCTTTGTCTATGATAGTCTAAAGCCAAAGGATAATCTCCAATATATATTCTTGAATATATTTCACACCTTTATTACTAAAACTTTGATTTGATACATATACATGTCATACAGATAACTGATCATAAGTGACAATATATTACTAGCGACTAAAATTAATGACAACATATATCAATAAGGGACAACTCATCACAATCAACACTTGTACATCTGACAAATCATAGAAGAAGCTATTCTCCATCTTGAGATTACGTGGCAGAATAGTCCTAAGAATCTGATGCCTTTTCTTCTTCTTCCAATAGGAGAAGAGTGTTTAAGAGGAATAGTGTTTTAGTCATACTAGATTGGATATCATATAAGATCAATTGTTCCCAGAGGTACCTATTTCTTTGGCTATCATGAATTGAACTCCAGATATGTATTTCCTTACTAGGGTTGGCCTGATATTGTTTCATTGATGTTTCCCTCGTAGATTTTGGCATTTTGTATGATTTCGGCATCTCTCCAGTTCATCATTTTACACTCTAGCCTACTGATCATTTTCCTAAACTGTTTTTTCTCCAGCTTACTACCGGGGAGCTATGGGCATTTTGCTAGTTTATGATGTTACAGATGAATCGTCGTTTAATAGTAAAATTCCCAGATCCATCTTCTAATTATAATGACTGGATGGATTATAATATTTTTCTCTTTGTACGATTTCTTATCAGGAATTTTCACCTAGCTTCTAATTGCAGATATCAGGAACTGGATCCGAAACATTGAGCAACATGCTTCAGACAATGTTAACAAAGTACTGGTGGGGAACAAAGCTGACATGGATGAAAGTAAGAGGGTAGGCAAACTTTATTGGCAATTTCCATGATGTGTGTGGATTTAAAAAGAGATCTTGTTCACTTAAACTTGTATACTTATTTCCAATGAAATCAAAATAAGTGAATTTTAGATTTAAAAATAAATTAAAAGTATTACTAACAAGAGTTAGTAACAAGTAAGAAATGGGTAATATCCACTTATTTCTCTGTATATCAAAGGTTTCCTTCATTAATAAATTTCATTAGAAAATAAGATAGTAAGGTAATTAAAAACATATGACACATGTTGGTTGAATGGGATTGACATCTTATTATTCAATGCTGGGTAGTAAATGCTAGTTTTATTGGAAAAAAGTACCTTAAATATATAAATTATATATATATATATATAAATCTTGTTCTTGCTTCCCCCTCCTGCTTGTGCTTCTTTTAATGACGTTACAAAAACAAAGTGTTAATGAATAATGCCCTTGCTCAAATGAAATCTAAGACCTCTCCAACGTCAATTTGACCATTAGAGATGCAGAGCTGTGCACCATTTCGCTTGGCTTAAGTGAACTCTCTTACGTGATAAAATGTGCTTTCTTCATAATCGTATGGGCGCTTAACCAGTTATCCCATTCGTTTGGGTTCTATATAAAATTAATTTGATGACTCCAGTTGAAATAGTGGTATCTGCGAGCCACTCTTCCGTGAGTCAGATTCGCCCTGATAGTAATGATATACAGTTCCTTCTTTTTTCAGGCTGTGTCTACCTCCAAGGGCCAAGCACTGGCGGATGAGTATGGAATTAAATTCTTTGAAACTGTAAGTGCTGCGTACTTGCCAGGTTGAAGCTCCCGGAAATTTCTTTTGGTTATCATGCACTGAAGGATTATATGTTGCAGAGCGCAAAGACAAATCTAAATGTGGAGGAAGTTTTCTTCTCGATAGCAAGAGATATAAAGCAGAGGCTTGCTGATACCGACTCTAGGACAGAGGTAATTACACTTCCTCTCGGGCAAATTAATAAGGTGATAGCCCTCTAAAAAGCGAGTGTTTTCATGATGTACTTGTTGCAGCCATCAGCAATTAAAATCGGCCAGCAAGAAGCGGGGGGTGAGCAGGCTGCTCCCAAATCGGGCTGTTGTGGTTGAGTCCAAGTATTTCTAATTGGAGAGATCTCTTTCATCCAGGAACAAGAAGGAAGGATGAAACATTGCTTGTGTGACGTTGATAATTTGTGCTCTAGGCATTTTTGTATTCGTTTCCAATTTTGGGTCTTGAAAATATTTTATAACTAGAAATGCATGCTAAAACGCCCTTGGCTTTTAATAGGATAGATGGGTGAACATTATTTTGTTTGAAATACTAACTGACAGTTTGCGTTAAATAAATATGCGTGTAGCTCAGCAAGAGCCGATGCCCGTAAAATAAAATTTCAATCGTCATGCAGGACGCATCACATAAGTTGATGGGAAAAAGACGCTATTCCTTATCAGTCATGGTAATATTTAAGTTTCTATTGTTTAAAATCTGCCCACGTTATATGCATGCACTCTCCTTTTAGGCCAAATAATACTACATCACAATCAACTATAAAAGCACGGAATTCAGATGATAAAAACAAAGGCTCCGAATTGAGTTTAGACTTAAAGGAAGCGCTTCATTTATTATCAATTGGTTTGGTCTCAGGCAAACACTAACAGATCTCTACGTGATGCCAGAAGCATTTTATCTAAATGACGCCATGGGCGACATTCAACAGAGAAGGGCAATACAGAGACCCACAGTAACGGAAATTCGGTGACATATATCATTTATCTTTCGTTTTCGAGGTGAATCCGAACCAGCAACTTAATACAAGTCATGATGTTTTTGCTGCTTTTCTAGTTGAAAAGAAAACGAGCTTTCCTGGTCGATACTTTTCCCGATAATCCTTCGCCCTCAAATTGTACAAAAACTAACGAGTGGCATCCCATCTATTAAACTAGGCCGTATATGGTATGCAATTGGGTTGGCGCGCCAGAACAAAAGAAGTGAAAAGAAAAAAGAAAACTACATATTGATATAGCTTCCTGCGCGCAAAAGAAAGTTTAACCATAATAATATTTCGTCCAAGGGTTGTTACTCATGTATTCAGTTCTTTCTATCCATAAATACGTTGGAGCTCGTATGTGGCTGTTTGGAAAGATTCTGAAGAGAAGCGGCATAGGTAAAAGAATTAGATATATGGTGAATCAAATAACCCAAAGAAAACATTATGTGAGTACGCCTGCTGGTATTTATGGGCAAAACAGGAACAACGAGTAATTTGTTTACCTTTCCAACTGCGAAACGCTTTCTGATTAACCGGTGCACCGAAAACTGTTTGAATTGCATCAAACAACAAACTTTCATGGGTACTCCTCAGCTCCTGTACAATCTGATAGATGGTCTTCCCGTTCTCAAAATAAATGTGATTGTTTGGATGTTTTATTTTGCAACCAGCGTGTCTCTCAAACTCCAAAGCATTCAGAACTTGAATACACAAGTCATGTGTTGAGTAGGCAGTATTAAATTTCAAGAAGCTGAAAAACAATGAATAAGGGGTTGTGTCAGTTTGCGAACCAGTGGTGATAACTAACCTTGGAATAATTTCATGACCCGCACCGACAAAGATAGCCAGAACCTTTTATAATTCCCCTAAGTTCCTTCACTCCTGCAGGAACATAACCATAACTTAATAAACACCACTGCAAATTCACAAATTAAACAGGAGAGACCTGAATTTACCTCCCGGGTTGCCCAAGACATACTTTACAGGAACGCCATCAAGCATACCAGTGGATATCAAGCCTATGACATCGGAAGGGAAGCTGTTCGGAGATTCGTTCTTTGCTGCTTTGAACTCCTGTTTATTCTTGGAAACAAGTTCAGACTTTAGTTTATCTACCCGGGGAATATTTACAATTTCATTGGAATTTGAAGCATTCAACTACTCTTTCTCATTAGCTGTTTTGGATACTTGAACCGAAGATAGATTATATAAAGGATCAAAGTCCCCAGAGGGCCTGCCCACAGGGAGAATATCCTGTTCATCTGGGAACCCACAAAAGGATATTGTATCTGTGCCCTCTTTATTATAGGAATCACCTACTGATATGGCATAATCATCACCTTTACCATAGGCCTCACCCAATAATCTAACATGGGCATCCGCCCTGTTGGAGGAAAGTTTCATGAGAGTGACATTACTGCCTCTATCAAGAGCTTGCCCTATTGACATACAGCCTATCTCAGCTTCACTGATACAGGCCTGATGTAGATCACTGTTATTCTGCCTGATCAAGCCATGTCTGGCACCAGCCTGTACACTATCAGAACCCTCAACCTGATCAACTTTGGCTTCTTTTATTCCATCGAAGGAAACTTAGACATGCTTCAGTTTCTTCAGATGAATCTTCTCTCTATTGCTTATCATTTTCGTCCTCACATTAGAATTATCATCCACAGCATAAGAACTATTTCTTTTCTCAAAATTGACAGGCCTATATTCAGATCCAAATAGTGGGCTGATAAATTGGCTAGGAACTGAGTTAAAATTAAGATTGATCTCCCAATGAGAAAACATTATATTTGAAATTCCTGAACCTGATTTTCCATCTTCATCTTCTACTGCTTTTTTCTTGTTTGGAAGAAAATCTACTACAGCACCATCAACAAACCATTGATGAGGTCGCTTTGATTCAATTTTAGAAGGATTATCAAGTGCTGTCTCACTGTCATTGATATGTCCAGTGCCCCTTACCGTTCAAAATCGTTTGCTTTGGTAAAACTGCAGCATAAAGTGTTGGAATCCACATAGTAAAGCAGCTGAGACAGAATTTCTACATAAGCGGATAGAATGGTAGGTTTATACGTGCACACCTGTATATGCTTATAGATTAATTTTGGCCGTGATTCAATCTCTAGTTACGCATAGCAAAAACAAATCCTAGAGATATTTTGATTATTTCCAGAAACTAATTGGTAGTTTCTGTCTCACTTATCCATTTACGTTGACGCGGGCAAACACACGCTCAAGTATCACAAGCCTAAATCTGCGCCCCATTATGTTTTAGATTGTGCTCTGTTCATGTCTCAAAGTGTCCTGCGTTCCCATGCCGGCGCTCAAGATTCATAACCCCTCTATCACTCCCTGTCTCCCTCCAAAGAGACGAAAGCACAGAAGCCCTCCGAATCCAAGAAGAGAAGTACAAATAGAGCACTAGGGAACATTTACACCTTCAATGCCTATTCGTGTGTGATATGAACTCTTTATAAAAATGCAAGCAAATCATAAAATAGAAAACTATGAATAAAGAGAGAACGAAGAAAGCAGAATCTAGTACATACCATCTGTTTCCACTTCACGTGATAAACGTTTCTCAATCCACGGCGACTATCCACTAGGCGGTACTATAACTATCTAGCAGTGTCCACGGGAACTCCAAAGCTCTAATAACTCTCTGCATCTAGACTCTGGAGAAAGCCCCTTCATGTACGGTAACATGGTTCACGCCCATCGAGCTCAACAACGGAACACAAAAACTAGAGGATAAAAGAGCCGAAGGCAACCGTAAGAATTAACGATTACGACTGCTTATATTGGAAACAAGAGACAAAAGAAATATGTATCAGCCCGCTATCCGTCAATCACAGAGATTTTGGGAACAGAAGCTTTAAAATAAGAGAGATTAATCTGCATCAGAAAAAGTCGAAGTAAACACATAAACGCCTATAACCGAGCTGAAGAATTGCAACCAAGCGATTATACGTTGAAATTCCACGATCTGATCCTCGTCGATGTCCATCCAAAGCAACGTAACCGGAAGGTCTTTCTCAGGCAAGTGTGTTCTGAAGCTTCCGGCGAAGCCACGCGGCCTTCAGAGTTGTAGAGCAATGAGAGATTCGCTCCGGTGTCTGAATTGCACTCGATCTTTTCTCGTTGCCCTTGCCGTTGACACACACGTGCACTGGGGAAAACAGATCGAGACCGTTGATGGGGTGGTGCAACTTTTTTTTCACCTACAAGTTTTAGATCATTAATAAAAAAATTAATTTATATTTAATATCATTTAAATATTATATTTTTATTAAATGAAATATGAATTACAATAATAAATGGAAGGGAAAATTGTATGAAAAAAAAACTTGACTAAATTTGAGATTGTTAACAAAGACTTGAGAATTTAATGAATAATCTAGTTCTACAGTGTCAATAAGTAAAAGACTTAAATGTCTTTGAGCAAAACCTTTTCCTCTCGACTTTTCCTTACCTCTTTTGCTTGGCTACCATGAGAATTCTAGCAATGTTTAGCCATAATTTTGTGATTTCGACAGTGATAATGGGTGGTTGTGATTTTGATGGCAATGGCAAAAAGAAAAAGTAAGGCAAGTTCTTTGTTTTGAGGATGGTGGAAGAGGGAATTAAGAAGGTTCAAACCTTAAGGATTTTTCTACTCTCACATTCTTCATTTATTTCTTCTCCATCCCTTTATTTGCCCTTAATAATGGAGTTGAAACCATCGAAATCGTCGTCTTTGTGGTCCGATACTTCCTAATCTGTTCTTCATCCACAAAAAATCACATACATTCACATTCAACACATGAAAATTGATTCTTCTAATTTGTTATCTTCTAATTATTTTTCTTGTTTGATTCATATGCAGAGTAAGGAGTGCATAAAAACATGTGAATCAAGCTTTTGTTCAGGTATGTACATTCATGCTTATATTCACTTATTTTATTTTCTTCTTTTATTTGATTTTTGGTGATTGAGCTTAAATTGATTTTAATTACCATTTCTCTAAATGATAATAGTGCCTCCATTACTAAGATATGGCAAGTGTTATGAGCTTCTATATAGTAGGTGTCTTGGGGAAGCTCCTTGTGATGGCCTTGATGCTTCTCATATGAAGCACAATCCATGTGTTCAAGCCAAAAACAATATATTTCATTTCTCAATCCATAAACATGAATAATAGCCATATGTAAAATTTTTCAAATTTTCTATTGTTTGGGCGAAGCTTTGAGACTTCTCAATTCTGACATGATGTTTGTGCAAGCAAGATATATGGTATAATTTCATCATTGAGCCTTTGGAAACATCATTAGTAAGACTTTGTGGATGTTATTACTAGCAGAGAATAATAGCACAATACAAGATTTTGGTAGTTAGCTATTTTCTTTATTTCCATAGTTTATCTAAATTAGTAAAAAATTATCATTAAGGTTGATTAATACTACACTTGCTAATCTTTAGAAAGTGTCTTCTTGTTATTTGCACTTGTTTATGTTAGTTTGAGGGAAACTACACAATCGATTGATATGGTTATGTTATGAAAGGTGGTTATTTCATTGAATTATTGTTATGAACAAAGTAGTTCATTAATTAGTTCCAAAATATGTGTAGATTCTTTCCATAATAACTTTCCAATAAAGTATATAATTTCCCATGTTGATGCTCATGCTCTTAATATCATTGTGCTAAATTGAGGTAATATGAATGATCTTTAGACTCTATCTCTATGATATGGCTTTAAATGTTTGTGTTATTTGTTATCACAATTCAGAGATAAGCAATCATCTTTTGAACTTTTAAGTTTCAATAGATATTTGAATTAGATGTTTTGGCATCTTTGATGACTGATGAGCATTGGCTTTATTTCAGATGGATTTGATATTTTTACTGCAATTGTGTTTACAGGATTTGCGAGTAATGAAGTGCTTAGATACTGTCATTTTCCTTTCTTTTTTTAATCTATTAAAGTAAATTAGTCACGTGATACATAACTTTGACGCTTGAGCAAGAATCTTTTTTATCCCTTGTACTTTCCTTTGTTTGTGATGACAAAAAAAAAAAGTGTTGATGAAAAAAACTCACTCCTAAAGAAAAATTAAAGACAATGAAATAATCACAAGCACTTTAGAATTTTTCAAGTCTAACAATCATCTTTAATAGTTGCATTTAAACATGAAGCAATGTTTAACATAGTTTAATTGGTAATTTCATTCCCCTGCCCTTTCACTTTCAATGGGCTTGAGTTAATTTTTTGGTTTGCACTTTAGGTTTTAGCAGCTTGCCTATTTAAGGATTGTATAAAGGATTTAATAGGGACTAAAAAGCTAGTTTAAAATATAATCGAGCTTCTGCTATAATTTTGGATTGATTACTTGGTAATTTTTGTTCGTATGATAAGGCAAACGTGATATTTTGCCATTTGATTTGCTACATACTAAAGTGCCTTCTTATATTTTGACAAAAATTTCTACAACTATTTGGTATTAATAAAATGGCATCTACTCTAAACTTTGGGTTATCCAAATGCTGGAGAAGGAGAAGGCTAAGATGAATAGATTACAAGTATCGTTAGGATGCAACATTTGTAAATGTTTATGTCCATGAAATTGTTTTCATTTATAAAGCATACATGATTATGTGTACGCATATTTTAAGATATAGAAATTCACTTTTTTTTTAAATCTTCTTGTACGAATTATATGATACAATAAATGAATATTTAGAATTTAAATAAATGGGATTGACAATGTAAATAAATAGAATTTATTAGATTAATTTGTTGCTTTGTAATTTATGAGATGTACAAAAGCCGCACCGTTGCTAGCATGCATTCTCTGATAGATTAGTAATAGAGTTGTCCACATTTTTATACAAAGTGAACATATATAAGACAACTAACTTTTTTAAGAAGATAACAAATGGGGATGATACAAAGGAGCAATTAGCTTTACTCAATAAGATAAAGCTTGCTGTTGTTTTATTATTAAACAAATATATAATAATTGTCATATCTTCATATCATTATTTAATAATGTGGTTAAAAAAGGAGATTTTTTTTCGGCGGGAGGGTGTTGGTGGGTGACTCTGATCATCCCAAATGCTGAAGAAGAAACTGTGTCTCGGTAGTCGGTAGGAGAGGAAAATGATCATGATTAGAAAATGAATCGGTAGTTTAATGCTGGGTCCGTCTTGCTGAGCACCCACGTGCTCATCAATCAAAACAAATATGGGCCAACCAGATTTAATTGGACGGCCCAAAGTTTTTTAATTTAATTTTATATTTATTAATAATTTAGAACTATTTTATAAATATATTTATCATTAATCTGGATAATATTGATTTAATTTAAGTGATCTAATTTAATATCATAATTTTTTTATTTAATAACTATCTATATATACTTTAAACAGTTCATATTTAATGTTAAACTTTTATATATAAGGTCTAGATTTAAAGTTTTTATTTTTTTTATTTTGATGAATATAATATTAAAAATAAAATATATAATATTTTGACTATAATTTTTAAAAAATATTTTTTTAAAAAATTATAATTAAAAATGTTTAAATTTAAAACTATACAAAATATATCTGAATAATTAATATCTAAAAATATAAAATTTTAATATTAAATTGGATTCTCCAGAGTAAATATAAATTAAATTATTCATAAAAATTTCATTAAAATTTGTTATAATTTTATAATTTTTATTTTAAAAATATAAAACTAAAAATATTAAAATTAATTTTTTAAATTTAAAACATTTAAATTTTTAGTCCAGATTGCATCACTCCAAAGAGCACCACACCCAAGATGGATCCCTTTAATACCAGCGTGCAATTTTTCTGATTCTATCAAAATTGATGGAATCCAATTTCATTGTAAAAGTTATGGAATTAACAAACTCAATATGAAATTGACTTATGTGTTCTTTTAAAAAAATAAAATAAAGGTATTTTGAGTTTTACAAGTACATTCTTTATTTTTTAATTACTAAGTTTGTCATTAAAAAAAATAAATAAAGAGTGTTTTGATTTTTTTATTTTAAATACATATACTTATTAAAATTATATTATGATTTCATATTCATACAAACACACTTTTAAAATTTAATTTAATTACAATTTTAATTCTGATTTTAATTTTAATTTTGATTCTATCAAAAAAAATTTTATCATGCCAAACGAAACTTAGTGTTCTACGTAATGAAGTGTGTTCTCGCTTTTCACGCTTGCTTCATCTTATAAACTCTCTATGGTAGTTTTTGACTTCCCACTCTTCTTCTTCTTCAAACAAGGGGAAAAATGCACTTTAGCTCCTAGGCATATTCATACATTGGAGCCTATACTTTCTCAGTATTCTAAAAAAACCTCATTCTATAATTAGGTTTGTATTGGGCTTGTTCACCAAGGAAGAATAACCCGATAACATGGTCCAATCCAATCCATTAAGGATGATGGGCTTCAAATGAAAATCCAACAATAAACATCGTTGTTATGAAAAACTGCACAAAAAGGTTTCTTATTTTATTATATTCTGTTCACAGTTTGACAAAGGCTGGAGACCCAAATGCAAATGTTCAACTATCGTGTGATAGATAAAGTGAAGCAACCGAATACAGTTTCTGCATTAATGATTTCTTGTGTTTATCTGTGCACTGTTCCCCTATATATAGGAAGAGGAGTACAAGAAAATAAATAAAACGACAAAGTATAGCTTAAAGCAAGTAAAAGAAAGACTAAAAGTAAACGAGACAAAAAGACTATGGTAGTTTTTTTGACTTCCCACTCTTCTTCTTCTTCAAACAAGGGGAAAAAATGCACTTTAGCTCCTAGACATATCATACATTGGAGCCTATACTTTCTCAGTATTCTAAAAAAAACCTCATTCTATAATTAGGTTTGTATTTGGGCTGTTTTCACCAAGGAAGAATAACCCGATAACATGGGTCCCAATCCAATCCATTAAGGATGATGGGCTTCAAATGCAAAATCCAACAATAAACATCGTTGTTATGAAAAACTGCACAAAAAGGTTTCTTATTTATTATATTCTGTTCACAGTTTGACAAAGGCTGGAGACCCAAATGCAAATGTTCAACTATCGTGTGATAGATAAAGTGAAAGCAACCGAATACAGTCTGCATTAATGATTTTCTTGTGTTTATCTGTGCACTGTTCCCCTATATATAGGAAGAGGAGTACAAGAAAATAAATAAAACGACAAAGTATAGCTTAAAGCAAGTAAAAGAAAGACTAAAAGTAAACGAGACAAAAACACTATGATGTGGCAGTGGTCAAAAGGGTAAAAGAAGGTTTTGATATGCTTTGAAGCTATGTGTTCCATCATCATGAAGTCGCGCAGTCTGCAATATTTGCAGCAGAGTAAACAAAAAACGAAAGAAAGAAATAGAAACTGACTACGGCTGATCTCATGGCTATGACCTACGAGCTGAAAGAGAGATCTCATAGACGAAGAAAATCATATATAGTCTGAGTACGCAAAATCAAACAAAAAAATTAACGAGGGGCGTCCTCAAGTTGAGGTTGAGATGATCATTTTCTAAAGGGGTCAAGTTCAAGTCCAAGCACAAATCAAACTTATTCTTATTAACAGGAGCCCTATGCTTTCTCATGTGGCCTCCGAGGGCTTGTCCAATCCCAAACTCAAGTCCGCAGACGGGGCATGGATGCATCTTGTTGAGCTTCAAAGGTAGATGTGAGGAAGAAAGCATAAGCTTGGGCTTCTTGTGGCTGGCTCTGTGCCCTCCAAGAGCTTGGAAAGAAGGAAATACTCTATTGCAAGTCTTGCACTTAAAACCACCATCACTACCCTTTGAGGAAGGGTTTGTCACCCCAACTTTGGACAGTAACATCAAAACAATTAACCATGTTTAAGCCCTCTAACTCACCTTCATCTCTTCCTCTCTTCATGACTGCGTTTACAAGGCGTCGAGGTGGAAATGGAATGAAACTTGAGCTGAGTTTGACAGGTAGATTAGCATATAAGTTGAAGGGAATCAAGAGGAATATAATATATAAGAATCATGTACGACTGGGGAGTTACGTGGGCGGTCAGTTTTCTTGGTAAGCAAGGAACGGGGACGGTCCCTGAAAGGTAATGGCATTAGGTGTGATCTACTGCATGAAGTCATTGAAATGCAGTTTCTGTGCTTGCGTGACCGCGTTTCATTGGAAAGTTAGATAGCAAGATGGGGCATTTTTGTTTTTGTCTTGTATCTGCGCTTTCTAGTCTATCACACTGAATCTGCCCCCCCCCCCAAACCCGGGCCTCTTTAATCTATTTTCTTTTAAAGTAATTGATTTTTATGCCTAATTTATATTCAGTTTTTGGAATTACTCATTATTTGTCGACTAATATCATATTAAATTATTGATAAAATGGTCGTTAATTGTGGGATTTCTTACTGGATGGGATAACTGAGAGGTGAGGATAGATGACGTGGATCAGATAGCGCGTGGGGGGAATATAAAAGTAGCAATATCTCAGCAAAGCAAAGAAGTCAGCACTAGAGGAAAAAGAAAGGGAGACGTTAGAAAATAGAAATTTCATTACATGAGGAAGAAAAAGTGAAAAACAACTGCGAAAATTGTTGGAAAAAGAAGCCAGCGTACCCCCTCGTTTCATACTGCCGTGAGTCTTATCCTAGTCATGCTATGTTGCGTAAATATCCTCGACAGTTACCAATGGGGGCCCTTATTCAAGTGGTTAGAAATTTAAACAATTTCACTTAAAATCTCATGTTTAAATTTTGAGTTATATAGTAGTGCAGTTGAGCATGCATTGTTAGTGGTGCTTGCAACCCCTCAACTTGGGAACTTGGTGCGTAAGCCAAAAAAAAAAAAAAAATCAACTTTGCTGGTGAAACGGATTATACCGAGACACACACCAAAAATAAAAAATCAATTCTGTTTTAAAATAATTAAAAATATAAAATTAAAAAAAATGAAAAAACACTGACAAGAACTTGTTAAAGCTGGCAGTTACAATTTAAGACCGTGAAATTGTCAAATTACATTTAGGGACCGTGATCATTCTATGCAATTATAAAAATTTAATTTTTGATAAAAATATCCATCGTACCACTATTACTAATAATATTGGAATTGAGTTGGAAATTTCTTAGTACTTTGGTGAAAAATGACTCTAATTGATTTAGAAGCTAGTTAATTTTTTAAATTTTCATATCCCTACTATTAAGAACAGTGAAATTGAGTTGGTAATTTTTTAATACTTGATTGAGAAATAACTCTAATTGTCTTGAAAACTATTTAACTTTTTGGCTTGGGATTTAGTCCAAACAATTTTTTTTTTGTTTTCATATCACTACTATTGAGAACAATCGAATTGGAAATTTGTTAATTCTAAGTTGGAAAATAATTCTAATTAACTTGAAAACTATCTAACTTCTAGACTTGGGATTTAGCCTAAATGTACCAGTTTTTTTAGTTTTCATATCACTGATAGTGAGTTCATTAAGATTGGGTTGAAAAATTCTCTATGCTTGTTTTTTTTTTGGTGGTAAAAAGCAAATATATATTAAAATTAAAATAAGGTTCCATACTTAGTTGAGAAATAACTTTAACTAACTTGAAAAATATTTAACTTCCAGACTTATGATTTAGACTAAATGTACCAAGTTTTTTCAGTTTTCATGTCAATACGACTGAGAACATTAAAATTAAGTCAAAATTTTCTTGATATATGGTTAGAAAAAAATTCTAACTGACTTGAAAAGTTTTTTTTACATTAATAAGAGGGTATTTTAGTCACACGCAGTTTTTTTTTTCTCAATTACACAGACGAACCAAGGTTCTTAAGTGTAAATTTGACTATTTCATAGTCTTAAATTGTAATTATCGCCCTTGGTAGTTCTTATTTATAATTTTCCCATAAAAAATGCACAAAACTATTGAAGTATCATTCATTATCAATCTGATATTAATTAAGGGAACGCGGCGCATCTTCAACTTCAACTTGGGGTGTGAACTTGGGAACACGGGAAATTGCAGCGAAGCTCCACGAGATTTCCGGTGGTGATTGCTGTCAGCATTTGCTATGTTTTTTAAAGGGCCGACATGAGTATGAGTGCTGCTTTGCCAGTACGTCGCTCCGCTAGTGGAGCTTTCATACATAGTATTCAGGATCCAATTTCATTTCATATGTGCAATTATTTTGACATGTATGTCTTCTCCCATTGGTCATGGTCATCCGTCATCAGGGCTTACGTTATATCATGAATAAACTGTTCATTGGTTTGCTAAGAAAATACTTGCCGGTCTTCAAGGTAATACCACTTCCTAGAAACTACAGAAAATTTGCAGTGCCAAAACAATGCTAATATCTGAGATGTCTAACTTGTTTGATTTTGACATGCGGACAACATGGAAGTTTTACTATTACTGGCCACATTTGTTTATGTTCTTCGAATGAAAAGGTATTTATTAACTATCGTAGGAAACTTCGACGTTGTTTAATTCTATTTTTCTGTTTCGAAGATTCAGTGCTACTTAATTCTTTGGTCTTATCTTCTAGATGGTACCCTGCCCTTGTGTCTATCTATCGCATGGTTCATCAATTCACCAGTTACGATTGAATTGGGAGTTGAAGTTCGCAGAAAAGGGAGACCAAAGTAACTGGAATTTAAAAATGTCTCTAGCTGCCTAATTCATACTAATTCTTCATAGGATCAAAATGCAGAGCAGTTCGTACTCTCCATGGTCAAATAGTACTCCACGCACAAGTTTTCCCCCCCTTCTGAAAGGCAAGTTTTGGCGAACAGCCATGCTCGTCGCATTGCCCGCGGCCAACCGTTTTTTTGACGTGTGACTTCCTTTCATTATTGTTGTTGTTGTTATTTGTTAAATAATTATTAGTATGTGAAGCACGTGAGATCAGATGGGAACACCCTTTAGCATAGGTTTCGATTTGGGAGGTTAATCAGGACCACCTTCATTCAATGATCACCAAAAATAACAGTTCAGCCACCATAAGGATTTAATATTTGAAGATGAATTTCTACCCTATACGCCACTTGTAAAAATAGTTGTAATACTTACTTTCAAGAATAGTTACCCAAAAAAAAAAAAAAAAACTCCAAACAAAGGGCGTTGTATGCAGTGTAAGTAACAAAAAAGTGAATTGACCTATCCCCGAGAAAAAAAGGGATGATTTGAGCAGGCATTCTCAATCAAAATACTATAAACTGCAATCTTCACTCAGTAATGCACAACTTGGATTAAAAAGTTAAAATTAGGGAGGAGAATTGACTCTCAGAAACTCAAATTTCCAGATACATTCTTGAGGCACCGATCGAAAGTAATAGACAAAACATCACGGACGCAACCTTCCAGTCAAGAAGAGAGATAAGTTATCTCTTAGTAATGCTCCTTTTACGTCAACAGCTTCACAAATCAGTTGATGATAACCAGAGTCATGGTTGTGAGCCAAAGAAAGCTCATCCTGTACTTCATCTTCCATATCAATCACAATGTTGTGAAGCAAACAGCAAACCAGAATAATCCTGGGCAGCTTATGTTTATCAGGCCTCCACATCACTCCTTGAATAATTCTCCACATGTCCTTCAGTCTTGCCAGCGCCCTCTGTGCCACAATCCGTGTTGCCAAATGCCGCCTATTGAACTCTGCTTTGAGCTCTGGAAGCTCTTTACCTTCATAAGGAACTACCAGGTATGGCAGTAATGGGAAGCCAGAATCCCCAATTATGTATTCCCTTACTTCTGATCCTTCGGGAAGCAGAAATTTCTTCCCATTCAACCTCTCTCCCTTGTTACAAAGTTTGTAGAAATTGGAACTCTCAAAAACCAGCCAATCCTTCATTCTGCCCGGCCAGCCAGTGACTATGTCCCTGAACCTCATGTCAGGATCTACTATTGCTTGCAACACCATGCTGTGATTCTTCTTGTGATCCAGCCACACATTACTAGCAGGTTCCGAGGCAGGCAAACACATCATGATGTGAGTAGCATCAATTACACCACAGCAATTGGGGAGGCCTCGTACCTTTTCAAATTTGGATTTGATTGATATAATTTCTGCTTCTGTAGAAGGCCATTGCAGATGCTGTAGACCCCTTTCTTCCATAGATTCAACAAATCGCCAAGTGACTTGCGAAACAGTTGAGTGATTCAGCCCAAATGAATCGCCAATGGTGACTAGTGACTCACCAGATCCTAGTCGTCTTAATGCTACAGCTACTCGATCATATAAAGACATTGGCTTGCCATTAGCAAACACAAAATGCGCAGATTTTGCCATCATATCATCCTTCACCAGTGAACATATGTACTCAAAAGTCTTTCTGGAGATCCTAAAAATAGATTCGAAGTTATCCAACTCCTTTGGCGGAGATTGATGAAGATCTGCTAAGCAACAAAAGTTACCAAATTCAGATCTGGATAATGCAGATATAATTTTCAATATTTTTTTATCATCTTTCTTCTTGAGAACTATTGTGGCAGTAAATCTCCTTCTTAACGAGATCTAATATTTTGTGAGAAAAATTATTCTTTAATTTATTTGTGAAAGCAGTGAAGATCATTTGATAATGCAAAAGACAAACACGTCCAGGCAAATGAAATATGCAGTAATTAATGATGCAGCCATTCAGTTCATATTCAGACATGAACAACCTTTATGCATGCAATGAAACAAATGCATACCTACGAACACAAGTTTTGCAAAGGAGACATAGTGATGATACAAAATTGTGATTTACCAGCAAGAAATGTTGGAAACTGAATCGCACAATAATAACTGAACAAGAATCACAACCAGAGTATTTTGAGAGTGAAAACAATAATATTCCTGAGTTACAAATAGGCAAAACTTAGAGGCTTGCCGTGGGAAAACTTATTTTATACTAAATTATCCAGAAGTATTGTAATTGTAGCCAATGTTATGCTGCTATCAACCAACTCTTCCTAGAACACTATTACTACAAAAATATTTGCCAGTAGTCTAAATATCATTTAAACCAAGAGCACATTAATATGACCAGGATCACACGACCCAAACCAAAAAAAAAAATAAAAAAAATAATAATAATAAGAGATCTAGTACCAGTTAAAAAATAGCTTTTGATGGTTGATCATTAGATCGAGAGAATTAGGTTACTTTTCCTTTTCCTCTTCTGATTCGAAAGTTTGGCAGCTAGTTTTTTTTTTTGGTTGCCCTAAGTTAGGGTACGTAAACAGATAGTCCTAAAGGAATAACTCCTTGCTGGAATTTCAACATGAAACTACTTTGTGGTAACCTAATTATCGATAAACTTCCAAATGTACTGCATTAAGCCCTTTGCATCTTTCAGATCAACAGTAAATAGCTTTGTGCATATCCTCTGCTATGAACCCCATGGTTTTCATGGTTTGAGGACTACAACAAAAAAATAAATTACGGGAAAAACTGACATGCCTTAACATTTCTTCAGTCTTAATTTGCAATTGTCTCTGCAAGCAATTGTTGAGTATTTACAAATACTATGATGCCAGCAAGAATTTAAGTATCTGAGTTAACAGTTGCCTGAAATGGCCCCTAAAGTTGGCTTAAAAACTGTAGAACAAAACAAGAAGGTAATTTCTGAAAATTGAATGCTGATTATGACCTCCTCAAGCAGCAGATACTACAATGAATTTTCTGTTCTATTGGATAGAGGATTTCAGGACATATGACCTGACAAATTAAAAGCATTCGGTATAACCCTACATGTTGGTCATACATGACTAAGATGAACAATTTCAAAATAAAAATAGAATGAACAGATATAGATCATCAAAGAGAATCATACTAGAAACTTGTAACCAAAAAAAATTTAAAATAATATTAATCAGCAAACACAAAGCAACTTGGGAACAGATGCAATCCTCCTACGCATGCCAAGTTACCCACTCAGTATGCCCTATCAACAAGAAATTTGATTATCATTATTAATTAATATCTTAGTTATGCAGAAAGCAAGATGCTTAAACAAGTATAGCACCAACACAAAAACAACAACCGATGAAACTTTAAGAGGAGGCTGCTTAAGAAAATGAACCAAGCACTGAAAGTTGAAGTTTAATGTCATGAAACTAAATAGAAGCATGTGTGAACGCAAGGTCCTGTTTGGTTTCTATTCTCATTTTTTGTTTTTAAAATCTGTTTTGCAATACAATTTCTAGAATTGTTTTTCAAAAAAAAAAATTGAAAATCAGTTTGGTTACGCTAATTTAAAAACAGTTTTGAAAATAAAAAATAAGCTGATAGTGATAGTTGTAGGCAGTTAATAGTAATGATTTATAATGAAAATTGATCAAGCTTACTATATTTTTCAATAATCAAATATATAGTGTTTTGAAAACAAGAACAATAAAATGAAAACAACTTTAAAATATTTTCATTTGTTGTTTTTAAAAACAAGAAATGAGAACAATTAAAACCAAAACACTAATCCAAAAAAGTTTTTAATTTTTTTATTTTAAAAAACAGAAAACAGTTTTTTTTTTAAACAAAAACCAAATAGGCCCTAAGTAGCTTACTAAATATCACACATATACACCAACCACAACAACTTGAGACTAGTCAATCATACCAAGGATTTGACACTGAAGACAGAAGGAGGAAAACCCATTACTTTGTTGCCCAAAAACCGATCATAAGATATTGCTTACATATGTCCTATGACCAGCATGATCTGGAATTATATGATCAGTGACCCTCATACTCAGTTTTGAACATTCGATTGATAGAATGAATGCAACTTTCTCTTCTATAATCAATATTCACTATTAAGCTTAGTTATGCATTTCATAACATGGTTGCAGCCTGCTCTATCTTACCCGGAAAAAATGAAATCCTCGTAGAAACATAACTTTGCACAAAATGTCTAGTGAGCACACCTGCCCCCTTAGTTTAATCTATATGGAGAAATTTAAGATGGGATCACACCTATGATATACAATAATTCATATCAGAATATCTTGCACACAATTTTGTCTGGTAACGTGTGTGGTGGGTGCGTGTCGTCTTCTTCTTGTATATATCTTGTTATTCTTCCCCAAAGCCCCATCCTGCTTTCAGTCCTTTGGTTTCCCTTCTCCTACTACTATAAAATAGTTCATCTATGCAGCATTCTAATTGTCATACTCAAAATTTCAGTCCTACTTGAGTGGAAAATCCAAATATTTCAACTCCTAGGTTTAGAAACTTTGAGATCAAACGCACTATTTTAATACAAGTTAAGGTGTTAAATATATCAAATTCCATCAGAATATACTTCCATACAAAAGTTAGCGCAAAGGAATGCAATCAACTAACTTTTTTCAGTTCCCCATTCTATAAGCAGGAGCTATAATGGATGGAAAGGAGGACTGTGTACAAACAGGTCCATTGAAGATCGTGCATTATATATTGCAAAACACCAGCAGAAACATTTTGTTTGTGATAATCAAAATTTGGACGTAAACGGATCCCCCAAATTAAAACAAACACTAGTTATGAAGAACCTTCCATGATGACTGAAATCTGTTCAATTCTTGTACCAAAAATTTGTTCAATTAATTACAAGCTCAAGAAATAAGCACCCAAGTATTAATTTTTCTAACGTGAAACAGAAATTGCAGAGAGACTGTGGTCGCCGTCCGGTACCAGGAAGAAAGTACCATTCTTCCTAGTATTTTCGATACAAATGTACAATTATAAAGAAAATTATATAATGTGATTAAACTTTCCTTCGTAGATAAGATAACACGATCAGAATGACAGGCAACTTTCAAGTCAAATTAGGGATCCTTGACTTCTATACCAAAATGTATTTGCGAAACTAAGCATGAACTTCAGTAAAAAAGCAAGCAACACCAAACTTCTATTGAACAGAGACGGATAGCAACACCCCAATCATACCGAGATTAATCAGCAAAAGCAATACTATCAAGAGAATTGGACGGAGTAAAAGTATCAGAAGTCAAAAGAAAATTACCACTAATCCTCTTTGAGAACTCAATCCACCAATCCAACGGGCCCTCTTTCGCCGGCAAATCAGAAGCAGAACTATTCTCGTCGTGCTTCTTCTCAGACTTTTTTCTCTTTTTTAAACCTCTTACAGGACCCATCAGTCACAAAAATCTAATCGAATCAATACTTGGGAACCTATCTGCTTCAAGCAAGAAGGATTTGATGAGGGAGTTTTCAACAATTTACAGGAAAAGGAACATACAACAGGGAAAAAGAAAACGAACATTTATTATTAATAGAATGACGCTCACCATACACTTAAAAGAACAATGGGCAGTAAATGCCAGCAAGTTGTAAGAAGAACAGGAAAAGTTTTAGCAGATAATGGGTGTGCAGGAGGCGTTGCTAAGGCATGCAAGAGAGACGATAGCTTAGATGAGAAAAGAAAGGTGAGAAAAATGAAGTGTTGTAGGGGAAAAGCGAAAGAAAATCGAAGTAACGCATAATGTCTGGTTTTCTTCTAAGACGTGGCTAGAGAAGTGAGGGACATGGATGTCGATTCTTCAGCGGGGAGTGTCACTCTATCACTCCATAATAGAATTCAGAGGGCGAGATGCCTGGCTTTTTACTTCGGATGTTTGCCTAATTTTGTTTCAGATTGATTTCCTGGGAAAAATTAACTGGACAAATATAATATTTTCTTGGCGAAGACCAAGATATGTTTTTATCGGGCCATAAGGTCAGTATTATCTAACTTAAAAAAAAAAAAAAAAATCTCTGTCAAGCATCCTGAAATGGAGAGAGATGAGAGCATATGAAATCAGAAATGGGACGAATTAATGATACTACGGCGTACAGCCTTCGGCCCCTCATATCTTCGGCAAAGAATAATGAGGATTTATGTGTTGGCATTGTTGAGCACGTAAGCTCGGGCTCCACCTCGACCTGTTTTGCGCCTTGCAGTAAAATTGTGCCGTAAACTTTTTCCACTAAATCAAAGTAATAGATGTTTTATTTAAAATTCCTTTTTTGATTATTTTAAAAGGTTTTGATCTTGTCCTGTAAATTTCCGTATAAAATAAAAAAAAATTTGCTTTTCATTAAAGATAATAAATTATAAGGAGAATTTCAATTAAGGGCCACAAAAAAAATTTAAATATTAGTGGGTCTAAAAAAATTTTAAAATTTCAGTTCAATCCAAAAAAAAAAGTCAAAATAATTTCAATAATAAAAAGATTAAAATATCTATCACTTATTATGCAAAATCACTAGTTAATTTTTTTACTTTACTTATTAATTTATTAATATTACTTCTAAATTACATTTGTTTATCGAATAATCAGTAACATTGATTGTTAATTGGCTAATTTTAATTACTAATTTACTAACATCAGTTATAAATTATAAAACTTGGTAGTAATTTACAACTGATGTTAGTGAATTATAAAATCTGTCAATAATTTACAATTGATATTAGTAAACTAACAAGTAAAGTCAGTAATTTAACAATTGATATTGCTACTTATGATTAAACAACTGATATCAAGTTTTATATAATTATTGAGATATTAACTGATGTGATTTGCAATTTATATTAGTGAATTAACAAGTGAAGTAAAAAAAAAAAAGGCAAGTGGTGGTTCTGCATAACAAGCAAAGAGTATTTTGATCTTTTTATTGTTAAAATTATTTTGTTTTTTCCCCTAAATTTAACTGAAGTTTCAGAATTTTCGGACCTACTGGTAATTATACATATATTTTATAATTTTATATATTATAAAATTATAAAATATAAGTGTACGATCACGAGAAGTCAAATTTTGGGCGGCACTAAATAATGACTTTACCCAGTTTAATCTTAAACTTTCTATGCGTGTGAAACAGGCAACTAATTGGCAATGAAAAGAATCAAGACATATACCACGCTGAACAGTGTAATAAAGCAACAGATTTGGGTGGTATATAGCAGTAAACTGAGAGTTAGCTCCTCTTGTAAAACAAAAAAGAAAAAAGAAAAAGATTTGAGTAGCACATGTGATTTTGAATTCGTTGGTCTTCAAGCACGACACTGATTATATTTGTATTGGTTTACTATTTGCATATCCAATGAAGATAATACTTCTTCTAATCCTTTATATTAGAGTTAGTTAAGGGAATTTTTGGTTTTAAATACGAAACATCAATCTATTTTATTTTTAAATTTTATAATTTTTCATACCATCTTATTGATTACATATATTAAATGAGGTTTTCTGAAACAATTTTCAATAAAATGATTAAAATGAGTAATTTAGGAAAACCAACATACACTATTTTTTACAAATATTTAATCTTTATAAATTAATTTTTTTGTGAATATAAATTAATTATTTAGTTTTTATATTTATAATCGTAGGAGGTAGATCCTAATATTTGCATGATAAACAAGCCAATAACCTCCACACGCGTGGACTGCATGTTCCTGCCAGTCTAGATCCGACGCATTCAAACCGCTTTTGTTTGTTCCACACTGGTTGCAATAGTAGTATAGTACACGCAAATGCAAATTTTCTTGTTAGGATGCTTTGATTTTGAGTTTGTCAAAATTATAATTTAGATATAATTGATTTGCAAACATGATTCCAAATAAGACCGAAGTTGGTCGAAACAATGGTCAGTCTTACTTTCTCATGCCTTGGTTCTGTCACAGCAGCTCTAGTTTGACAATTTCAAGATTATGCGGGTCTCCTCTCACAATTGAGGTTAATTAAAAGCATCTGCACACATTATTTATTCTCCAAACCATGTTAAAAGCTTAAACATAGTTTGTAAAACAAGTTTAATTCTAAAGTTCTTGGTTGCACTATTAAAAAATTTATTGTTTAGTAATTACTCTTAGCAAAACATAGAGTTGATAACATTAATTTAGCCTGCGGGCTTAATCTGCCCAAAGATGCAGGTCGGGTTGGCAAAAAATGCAACTTATTTAAATATAAGTCTATTTTGATTTGCACCGTATAACCCAAACCCACAACTGTTAACATATTTTTTTTTCATTTTAATACTCCTTGATAAGAAAACGTTATGGCTGATAAGCTTGCATATTAGGTATTGAGGATTAATAGCTTGGAAATTTTAGTGTTTACTTGATTTCTTCCACACAATATCATGCATGTGCTACAAGTGGTTAGGAATCTAATATTTCATCCGTTTCAAATTACAAGACACTTTTGCCAACATTAGAATATTCATAAGGTCTAGTAGCATCAAATTGCATATTTGAAGTATTGCGTCGAAGTTTGGGCTATTAGGTAGAGTTTGGATTATGGTATCTAGCAGCATCAAATTGCATATTTGAAGTATTGTGTTGAGGTTTTTTGGGCTATTAGGTAGAGTTTAGATTATGGTATGCCTAAATGTAATAAAGTTGACCAGTTGTTATTAATATATTGTGGTGACATAAGTCAAGGGTTCTGAGTATTTGAGCTTAGAGGAGAGACACTTGTATATGTGTAGGGGCCCTAAGTACTCTTATTGGCATTTAGTATTTTAGGGTCCTTGTTTGGTACTAGATTGAGTTGTTGAGGGTACCAATAGTGAGATAATTTAATTATATGTGTGTGGATGCTTCGATTACCCTAGGTGAAGGTCTAAATGAATTAATTATGTGATTTTGAAGTTAAATTATGCCTGTTATTTTTTGTGCTTGGCATGGGGTTTGTCGCGGCAAACAATAAGTATGGTCGTGGCGAGTGTGTTTATGGTAGTTGGCCGCAACAAGTAGGTCATTATGTTGTTAGATGTGGTGAAGGTATTCACAGTTGCAGCGAGCTGGTGTAGTTTTCCAAAATGATTATTTTCTCCTTTTTTTGTTTCTTTCTTATTGCAAAGTATTGTTTTCATATTTTCTCATAATTCCTAATTACTCTTGTTTCTGAAATTTATCCTTCAAATATGTTTGGAATCTCAATTTCAAGGTTGCCTTTATCTCATCTTCAAATTTTATACCACAACTGCTCCTTTTGATCAAGATTTTTTACTAGTAGAATTAATTAGTGGTTCATGACGGAGGTCTTTACATCTCTCATCTTGTCCACATGTACATGTAGCGTCAAACAAACATGCAGACATCAACACAAAACGGAAGCTGTTATTTCAAGTAAACAATAAGGTGAGAGAAAAGGAAATATTTAATGTTTAAGGATATAATTGATCTATAATTGAATTTAAAATTTCTGGTGACATTTCACATATAACTAAAGAGCAAAAGTGACCCATAACTTAACTTTAAATAAAAACAAATGATAAGTGAAGACATGAATGTGAGTGCGTAATAGGGGTATTGATTTTATATATATATATATATATATATTAAAAAAGTAGAATATAAAAAAAAATAAAAAAGAAGGCTATTGATTGGATTCAAATTACTAAGACGGTCCAACAGGCCCAACTCTGGTTGCCACAGCAGGCCCTCTGTCAATTTGCCAACTCAGAATAATCGAGTGTAACGTCAAACAAGCTAGCTAGCTAACGAAAATTGGCCATAGACTCGTAGTTAATGAAGATTGATTTCAAACAGAAGTACAACAACAAAAAAATAACATATAAAGTATTAATTAGATATACATTGGTAAGTTCGTCCGCTACTTTATGAAATTGAATTTCAGTATGTCCAGAGGGCCGGGATGAGTTAATTTCTCCACCCAGGACAAAGACGATCCCTTTGAAAAATGTAGTGTAGACTGCCTTAATTTAAAGTTTCAAACCGATCGAGTGAGGTAAGAAGGAGGCGAGAGCGAAAGATTGAAGAGATAAACCATTTCAGACAATACTACAAGTTCAGGCCATTTGGTCGGCCAACGAAGAATTATTATATGCTTGACTTGAAATCTCATATTAGCGGCTGTAATTTGCTTTCTTTGTGGGTGCGCCAAAGTGCTTCTTCACCAGTCCAACCAAATCCTCTCTACGTGACAATTGACCGATCCTCACAGAATCATGGCCACGCAACAGCATCATTTACTAGATTCATCCTCAAAACAAACCCCCTCCCCTTTTTTTGTAATGACCATGATCCTGCATCATTCTCTGCCTTCAGAATCCAAAAGGAAGCAGCTTCGAAAAGGCCGTTCTTGCTCAACCATTAAAATATTTAAGTTGTTGGTGAACATTTCTCATTCAGCGGACAAGGTTTTCTGAATTTCGGGCACGTCTTCTCCGGGAAGAAGCTTAATAATATGCTTTCAATGGTCTGTGACACTCTGCTAGATTCTCTGTGCAAGGCTGCAACTGCAAGCACCCATTATTCCTCATAGGGGTGATCTTTTTACCCCGATTTTTGCTATAGGAGGCTTTTATTTTTTGATGTTTCAAATATATTCGTCTCAGAATAATACCTTTTGAGGGTGAAGACTGGCCAACTTTCTGGTTAAGTCTATTTTTCTCTTGTTATTTTTCCTGCGACTGAAGTTCCTATGACGTTAACATTTAATTGATTGAACTCAAAGGAGGAATTTCGACGGCAGGAGAATAAATTCATCCACGAACAACCCCTAATGAAGCACAGGGAATAATAACCACAAATGATAATATACATGAGAATATGGGAAGGAATTGGATTCTTTCATCGAACGCATGAACATAATGAACTTCCAAATAAGAGAGAGACGGAATAATTAGTTAATCACACAAAGATACCGAAAAGAAAGTATTGCCGCCTTTCCTGAGACGACTAGGTAAATACACACACATATATATAGGGGAAGGAAATTTGAGGACCAAAAATTGAATTAACTTGATATAGAATCAAAAATTTGACAATACGTTCAGCATTTT